ACAGTTTAATGTCCATTGTCCACGTCGACCGAAAATGAGCTCCGCGACGTACCGCAAGTGATGAATATGAGGCCACTAGACGCAGAGTAGCCTAACTGCAATTTTATGACTTATTTATACTTTCATAGTCAAAAAATTATAATCTACTAGAGCACAATAACCAATAATTGTTACCATAATTCTTAATTGCGCTTTTTTATTTTCCTCCATATTGAAGTGTTTTTTGTTATTAGGGCACTTTGCCTCTAACAGACCCATATATGCCTCGTTAGTCTAGTAGTAGGCCCGCAGATTCGAATCCTACGTCGAACATAAATGTTACTTCGATATTGTTAACTTTTTAGAACACGTCAAAAAGACTAGAAGTTTGAGGTAGGTACCATCTGCCTCGTGCCACGGAGAGCACGTTAAGCCATCGGTTCTGGTTATCAGCATGTAGTGGCAGTCATTTTAAAAGCCCACCAACCCACACTGGAGCTGCATTGTGGGTCTAAGCTTGAAAAACTCTACCCAATAAAGAGATTTCTAGGATAACACGACTGAATATGTTGTAACAAAGGCTCTTTTGGGAGAAGTACGTATTGAAATAAAAAACTTTAAGATTTAAAACGCCATATATGTATATACTATATAGTATCCGTTGCTTTGCAGGAGTCGTGGGCAAGGGGAGACTACGAAACGTCGGGCCGTAGTTAAAATATTTTTCAAATGAATTTGGCTTCAAACGCCACATATATACTATATGTGGCGTTTGAAGCCGTTGAAGTGTTTTATCTAAATGTGTACTACTCGCGTAAACTACAGACAGGAGCATCCGTTCATACTTGTCCAGTAAAGATCCGAACTTACGACTGCTTGTGTGTCGAGATGCCACGTGCTAATTGAATTATCATATGAAGATGGACAAATATTTGAGTCACTGAAAACGATTCCCAACAAAACTTTGATTCAGAAATCTTCGATCAAACAACTTATACGGCTTTGTATAAATAAGCTGAATTCGTGTACTTTAACGGTGCGTCACCGAATTATTCACCGAATTCCTGAATCATGGTCCGCTCTCGCGTACATTTGTATTTTTTGACATTCTCGTAGTTTTTATTAAAGCACACTGCAAGTTAACTTCTGCATATTTCTTACATGACCTACAAGTAATGACAAATCAACTGTAATATTTTTGAAGCCACTTTACTTACAACTTTTTAACGGCCTCTTCAGTCTCACAGTATCAACGTGTGGCTAATAATCAACAGGCCATTGGTTCGATCCCCACCGGGTCCAACATGTGACTAAATTTTTCTGACACATTCTGACAAATTCCGTCACGATCCACGGTCCACAGATGAAGACGCCGTGAAGTTTAATCGCGTCTCAGTATCAGTCTGTGGATTTGCGAACATCGAAAGCCCAAATAGGTTGACGGCGCATCTTGAGTAGATTATATGGCTGGGGTATTTCATCTCTTATCGAGTAAACCCTATGCTAGTCTGTTCTCTTCTATTATTAAAAAAAAAAAACTATTTTTAACTGGTACTATGTGATTCGTGTTCTATGATTTTTGACGTTAACTTTGATTGTCATAAATCTAGGATAGTTACGGTTTAAACCGGTGTTTTATTTAATGTCCTATAAAATATCACCCGCGTTAACAACAAAAATACTAAATGTTATATATCACTAAATTAACTATTGATATTTCAAACCTTCTAACGTTCAAACTTTCTTTACGAGGTATAACGCTGATTTAATTAAACTTAATGGAAAGCTTTTTGCAAATAAGCGAAAAAGCCAGAAAACTTATTTTTTTTTTTACTATTTATTGCACATGATGACACTGTCTAATTTAAAAATCGAAAATAAATTGAAACAAAAAAAAATGTGTTTTCGGGCCGGACTTGAACCGGGACCGTCAGCGTTCTGTGCTGTAAGATACCGGTTCGAATCCTGTCCGAGTCGAAAAATTTTCAATTTATTTTCGATTTTTTAATCATAGTTTAAACCTGCATTAGATAAGATTCAGTTACAACACGGAATTCTATATAACAAGTAGTTCTCAGCGGTCATCTATGAAATATGCGTTGATGAATGTAACATCCGTGCTATGATTATACTATTTACGTCCTCTGTGAGCATTTGTTGAGGTGAATCACATTGTGAGGAATCAAATATAACTTCACTTTAATGCATTTTAAACTAAAATTACCAAGAACAAAATAGAACGACAGGACTGGAAACCTGGCTGTCCTTCTCTATCATATAAATAGTACAATCAATGGATTGCTTCTAAAGTAGTTGTAACAACATCATCCTAAAGTAACGTAAACCAAAAACAACAGTTTGACTTTCAGAAAAAAATTGCAATAAATCTTTGCATTATTTATTCCTGAAACTAATGTACAGACATTGTTGCCGGTTTAATTATATGTCAACGTGAGATAATTGCGAAAATATTACTTTATCCTTTGGGAATGTGTAAAAGTTCATGCATGGAATCGGAAAATTTGTATTTTTGGTAATATGCTATATATTAAACAAATTAATTATACAGTTAAATAAACAATGCAGGATAAAATATAAATGCAATATGCAATTTGATTGACATGAGTAATTCAATAATTAACACATTTCATAATGATTCAACAAATAGAATTCATGACGATATGAAATAAGACATACCTAGATAGCTATACATATCAAACGGGTATAGATGACATCTTGGGTAGTTTAAAAAACACCTCTTCTATAAAAACAGAAGAACAAAGACTAGACAATAGACACCAAAAAAAAAACTAAATTCAAATGAATATAGAGTGCAATTAAAAAAAGACCCAAACTAGGGGAGATGTACCATTTCGTTAATTGCAATTAATTGTTGCATGCATGTACGTTAGCTGTGAGGACATAGTAATTAAGGGTAACAATTTTTAAAACACTTTCCATATTTATCATGTTATTGTGCACCAATGCACAGTTTACTGAATAGTTAATTTTATATTCATGTATCTGAAGGTACAGTCCTTGATACAATATTAATAATTAGACAAAAATATAATGTGTGCTAAACACACAATTTTAAAGATCTTCAACCAGATATAATGTTATTGCTTCTGTACCTTAAAACAATTAGATTTACCTGTGATTATGTATACATGTTATCTAAATGTAAGTAATAAAAATAATGTTATTACTAATAGTAACTTCGGTAGTCATTTATGTAATTTAAATTAATTATATTGTGCTCTATAGCATGATTCTAGGAGAAAGTTTAAAAGTTCAAATTTTAACAAATACTGTTGGTTCATAACTAATCTTTTCAAATATATTTACCTATTTTTTAAATAGCTATTCGTGAAACAACAGCTAAGGCTTCTTATAACTCCTTATTACCCCCCAGGGTCTAAAGTAATATTAAAATACAGCCTCCACTTAAATTAGAACCATTTGCTAAATTAAAAACACAACTTTGTGGCCTGACCTAGAAAATTCATTAAAGTAATAACATAGTTTTTATGGGCTTATAATACCTAAATTGACCTAAATTGCATATTATATATAAACTATTTCTTTAATAGTATATATGTTTAATGAATTTTTTTGGCATCAAAGACGTAGTGGGCTTATATTAGTATATTATAGATTTTGATTCCAATTTAAAATCATATTATGTAGCTATGTTCTTATCATATACATGGTGTTAATTAAAGTATTTTTGTTATCAATGTTATTATCTACCTAAATAATCTATTAAAATTAGGCCATTTGAATTAATGAAGAAATATTTTTATTGCACCAGTGCAAGTAGGATGTGCAATTTAAAATAACCCTAGGGAGGGTTGCGCCACCCCAATTCAAAGAAAAATTACGCCCTTGTCACATTGGTATAAATATATCCCTAAAGTCAAGGTCATCGCTTCTCATAGCAAGGGATCCAACTAATCCCACAAGACTTCGTGTGGGGTAAATCACAACATACAGAAAATCAATAGTAATTGCGAAGCCATTCTTTCCCATTCATAGAATAAAGTAACAATTACCACGCATAATGAGATAGTGTTCTTATACAATTCCATTCATGAAATCCGGTAATTATGTCCATAATTAAAAGATCGATGTGCACGACGAGTATGTTTACGTTCACAATTAGGTCTCACTAAAAGCTCAACTAAAGAACAAAACAGATGCACGAAGCAGAGTAAATATTCCCGGTTAATTATAGATCGACGCGTGCGAGCTGATATCATACAATATTTATATTTTATAAGCAAAAGCTCCGAGAAAGGTGTTTCATACATACCTCATTTTGGCTGTCGTTTCCTTTGTCAAAGCGAATCCTGGTGCACTATTGCACAGCACGGAACAATTGTTCACTTAAAAGCAGCATTATTTTCGAAACACACACAAACATTTCAAAACTATTGACTGGAATAAGGGCCTGCCACTTTAGGGGTGGCCATTTTTGTCAAAATCAAAAGCTCTATTTTTCTCGACGTCGGTACGTTCCAATTTTCTCAGTTTTTCGAGTTCGTCGTTCTCGACTCTCGCCTTTCGAACCAATTATTATGAACAAGACCTCAGAGAGGACGCTAGCTCTGCGAATCAACGTCTTCGCGAATAATTAAAAAAAACAACCATCCGACACTCCTTTAAAGTTGCCAAACTTAAAAATCGTCCTTTGTAAGACAAAAAGTTATAAAACGATAATTTTGCTCAATTGTTTCATGTTCTTTGATAATAATCAATATTTCAAATTAATATCCGTCATGATTGGACATTCATTCATTGTTTTTATCAAAATGGCCAAATTGAATTGTTTGTTCTAGCAACCCAGCAATGTATACGTCAGTATTTGACATTTTGTAGTAGCAAATCATAATCTCAAAGCTCCAAAAAAAATCAATCAGTCTGTTTTTCTTTTGATAAATAGTTCCTTTTTCGAAATCCCATAAATAATGGTGGGCGCAATGCCTGTGAATTTAATACCAAATTTTTTTAATGGTGCCATGGACAGTCATAACGGTGATGAAGATGAAATTCAAGTGACCATCGGTAGCAGAATTAAGAGTAATGATGATTTCGGTACTGTAAAGTACATTGGTGATGTCCAGGGCTACAAAGGGACGTGGTATGGGGTTGAATGGGATAATATTGAACGTGGAAAGCATGACGGATGTGCTGATGGTATTCAATACTTCAAAACAACTATCCCTGGTGCAGGGTCTTTTATACGCCCTAATAAAACTTCTCCCATGAAAACTTGTTCAGAAGCCATTCGAAAGTATTACGGAGATCGTGAGGTAATTATTTTCAATAATAATTTAATAAATAGGCAGGTAATACATTGTTATTATATGAGTCACCCACCTACACAAAAGATACAAGTGATTGTAAATATTATACATTTATTGTTGTTTAGCTGAACTAGAATTTAATTCAATATAAATAATACATGTTTATAGTTAGTATACTGCTAATTAGGAAACCTGAGTATTTATTAATGATTTTGATGCTAGTTTTTAAAAAGTTGTGCAATGAATTTAATGTAAAAATTTGATTATTTTTGTAATTATTTTAGGATGAAACTGTAGCAGCACATCGTAGAACTGTGATTAATGAGTGGAAGAGAGAAATGGGAGCTCCTTTTATCGAAATGGTTGGTTTTGAGAAAATACATCAGAAACAGTAAGTTGTCAATTATTTAAAAATTTTCTGTACAAATCTTTTTATATGAATGTGAGACATTTAAGTGTTCAATAAATATGATTTTCATAGGAAATTTGATCGTCTCTTGGAAGTATGTGTCCATGACCAGAATGTAGCGAAAGCTGGGGATGTTGCAGCTCTATGCCCAAATGTAAGAAGTTTAGATGTATCACAGAACCTCTTTTCAAACTGGCGAGAAGTGATAAATATATCAGCTCAATTGCCTGATCTCCATGAGCTGGATGTAAGGTATTATTAAATTTGTAATTTGTCTACACTGTTGTGTTAGTTTTTATGAAATTCCAAACCTGATTTTAACAAATTTTTTTTCCAGCAAGAATCGCATGGCTATTGATATGCCCGAAGATACAATGTTTCAACTATCAACTAATTTCGCCAACTTGAAGAAGCTCAATATATCTGTATGTGACTATGAATGGTCAGATGTACTGGCCCTCTCTCATCTCTGGCCTAACGTTAATGAAGTTATAACCGCTTACAATAGAATTAAAAACATATCACCGCCAGATGTCACTATGAACTCTCTAACGATTTTAAGATTGGATGGCAACCCTATCGACTCTTGGTTTGAAATTTTAAATTTGGGAAAATTGAAGAATTTGAGGGTTCTCAGTTTAAATGATTGCTTTATTAAAAATATAAGTTTCAACAATGACCAGGGAAATGCTAAGGTGGATGTTTTTGAGAATCTGGAAGTTTTATTTTTGAACAGAAATTCAATTTGTGATGTAAGTAGTAGATAATATTTTATAAATTGATTGTCTAACTTGATTTCTTACAAGAACTTAAAGATTTATGTATAAATAATAATTAAAGCTCAACCTTAACTATATTTCTAGTGGCGATCAGTAAGCGAGTTGGAAAAGTTAAAAAATCTCAAAAAGTTATATTTCCTCAAGAATCCCATACAAGACAGTGAAGACTATGACACAGGATCTCAACTTATTATTGCGAAAATTGGCACACTACAGGTAAATACACAACATTATATTGTAGAAAATATATAGAGGTATTTGTCTCGCCATAAAACTGAACTTGTTACTTTCTTTATTACAGGAACTTAACGGTTCAATAATTACTCGTGAGTTACGTCGCGGCGCCGAATATGACTACATGAAACGTTACGGGGCTGAGTGGAAACTGGCACAAAATGATGTTAACAGTAAACATAAGTTTGATTTAGAGCACTGCCGCTTTCAGGAATTAATTGATAGTAAGTTTCCAAATGCCTCGTAGAGTACATTAGGTCCCGGTTATCACCACAAGTTTAGTGGCGGTAATTCTTACAGTATGGTAATTTGCACTAGAGCAATGTAGTTAGTTATATGTCTTTATTCTACTCATATGTATAAGACATGTGGCCTGCAGGGTAACATTATTTAAGAGTTTACAAAATACTGTACAAATATCAACAGTATTTTTAGGCTTTAGGTGAATTGTCCTAGCCTATAGCATCTAAACAAGATGTGTTGTCGACCTATTGGATATTTAGTTATTCACAATCTGAATCCAAAACTTGATTAAACTTCACGGCTTTCTGATCTGGACGGTGGTTCGTGACCCGGACGGAATTTCGATATTCCTACCACCCATTTAAGAAACAGATTTCCAGAAGAAGTCCAACATGTTTCAAAAAACTTATGAACTGAAAACTAGAAAAATGTTGGACCCGGTGGGGATCGAACTCACGACCTGTTATTTATTAGCCGTACATTGTTACCATTAAACCGATCAACCCGTACATAGCTTGTATCATATTTCCAAGAGATGATATTTACAAAATAAATGTGGTACTTTAATTGAATTTCTTTTTTAGAATATGGTATCCCAGATGACAGCCTGTTAGTAAAGCAACAGAAGAATATGACCCTCACCTCACAACTCTTAGAAGTAACTCTACAAGATGAAAACGGGAAAGTTTTAAAAAAGAAATTCCCCTCAACAATGGCAGTGCAGAAACTGGTAACACTCGCTCAAAGGCTGTTCTCCAAAGGATGTTCTAGACACCCATCGTTATACTTACTAGATGACAAAATGAAAGGTGCAGAAATAGAACTTGATAATGTGATGAAAGATTTAGCATATTTCTCCGTAAAGAACGGCGACGCGATTATTGTCAGATTCAGATAATGCAATTTCATTTATCAAATATAACAGATGTATTATTGAGGTACTATATTAATTCGCAATTCTCATTTTGCTTTGTTAATATAAAAATATTGTACCTGTATTTATTACTTGAAAAATAAAACTACACGTATTTTTTACATTTGCTGTCTTTTTTTACAGAACATTTTATCCCTTAGTTGACCAAATTGATACCAAAAATTAACATCCAAGATAGACATCTGTTTAAATTCTAACGATAGAATCTAATATCAAGATATTAGATTCTATATTAAATGTTATTTAATATCATATGCTTGAAGGTTGGTTCAAGTTAATTTATGATTGACCTTCAGTCCTGAAGGTGAAGTCTTTATTTTGCTGAAACACTTGTGACCTTAGATATATAGTTAATAACAAGTTGTTACATTAGTATAAATCTTTTTCGAGGCGACTTATTACGAAATTGTTAAAGTTAATATCACCTATTTTCATTCTACAAAAATAAATTAATTTAGGGTGTTTGTATAAGCTGTTTATGTATATACGTCGCTTAATGTTTTTGACATTTAAAATACTGGCCGCAAACTCGATCACTATTGGTTACCGCTATGTCAACAAAAAAAGTTACAATACGAATGGCCGCGGGCCACAATTTCAAAGTTTACCGAAGAACTTGTAACGCATCGTGATATTGTTGCCAAAATAGTGTATTTAAGTTTTTTGCCATGGGCAATTGTTGGGGCGTGTTTCGCAGGCGTCGTATTCGCCGTCACATAGTGTTAATTCTTATAGGACTAGACAACGCGGGTAAGACGAAAACTGTGAACAATTTGGCCGGCGAGAGCGATGAAAAAGTTCTGCCCACCGTCGGTTTTAAGGCCGTCAATTTAATTCATAAGGATACACCTGTAACTATTTACGATTTGGGCGGTGGGCCGCATTTTCGGCAAATATGGTCGCAGTATTACAGCGAGGTACATGGTGTTATTTTTGTGATTGATTCGAGCGATTACACCCGGTTGGAAGAGTGTAAAAATGTGTTGGAGGAAGTTTTATCACACGATAAAATATCAGGTAAATTAATTTCCTTTATCAATGTTTTGTTACAGGATAATTGATTACCTATGGTAGTGTGACAATATTAATTAATTTTATATACGAGTGTTGGCTTGATCAGCGATAAGCGAAGTAATATGAAATTAGCGACAATTATTTTGTATGTAATGATTGATGCAATAGAAGTATAAATCCAAATAAGACAAAATAAGTGTACTTCCTTTTATTAACTATTTTGCACACTACTGGACACAAAGTAAATTATTCTGCATTTTTGTCTGTCCACCATAAGTATAAATAAAGAGTGTTGAGTTAATTTTTTGGTTTACTAGGTAAACCGGTGTTAGTCCTAGCAAATAAACAAGACAAGACTGGAGCGCTGGATGACATAGATGTTGTGGAGAAACTTAATATTGAACCACTAGTTAACAAGTAAGTGTCACATAATATAAAACAAATTGGTTATCCTTTTTTTGTGCTGCATGCTGACACATTTTTATGTTATTTGTTGAATGTTTTTATCTAAATAATTCTGTTCCCACATAATTTTCATATGTATTCAAATTTTTTTTATTAATAATTTATATGTACATATAAAGAATAACTATAAATAATTTTGTAATTCAATAGTTAAGTTTAAGTTTGTTCGCTGTATTTTTAAGTATTTGTTTTTGTATGTCATATTTATTATATCATTCAAAACCTAGGTGAAAAGCAGCATTTTTTTACAACTGAGCCATGGGTCAACAAATATCTATGGAACAAATCTTTAATCACTTGCTCATATTATTTCTTTAATGCAATACTATGAACAACAATGGAATTCCATTTTTTTTTTGTTGACAGGTTACATAGTATATTATTATAAAATTTTTCTAAGTATATTATTATTTCAGGTACAGATGTCCAACTTTAGTCGAGTCATACACAGCTGAATCCTCATTCAACCTGACGAAAAAGCCGAAAATTGATCCCGGCCTAAAAAAAGGCTACCAATGGCTACTGAACTACATAGTCCGCCGCTACGGGGATATAAATCTACGCGTACAAACAGACATACACACAGAACTGGAGCGCAGACGTCGTATGCTGACGAGGTCAAGTCGAGGATCTCAGACATTCACAGCTGTCAGTGACGACATAGCCACCCAGACTGGATTTGAAAACCCCAATTTCGAATTGCCGAAGGCAGAAAACGGTTTGATCATAGTCAAGCCAATAAAAGGGACTAACGACTCCACCATCACTATAGAGAGTATAGAGGACTCTGATAGTAGTGTTAAGCCGAAGCTATCACCACTCTTCGGACAAGTCAGCAGCGCGACTAGTGAGACAGTCAAGATCGAATTGGAGCCGAGGAGTGAACTGAGAAAGCTGTCGCCGATTGTAAGGAACCGTAGTGGTGTTAATCATATCGACTTTAAAAATCGCCCGCACTCGAGTCCAACATATAAAAATAAGGTATTCAAATAGAGTAAGCTTGGAAAGACTTTGTGGTGGGTACTTCTGAAAAATGAAACTACCTCCAATTTTAGCCGTATTTATAGGAACGAATCTGATTAGTACATGGTCTTCTATTAATGTAACGTCGTATAAGGTTGAGTTTTTTGGAATCTAGGTAAAAAATCCTGATGCCACTGGTGGGACGGGTGGGACTTGAATCGGCATTAACAGCAATGTACAGCTGATAATCAACAGGTCCTGATTTCGATCCCCATCGAGCCCCACCTGTTTTTGTTCCTTTTTTTTTTTTTCTAAAACATATTGGGCTTTGCCCGGAAACCTGTAGGTACATATATTAAATGGGTGGTAGGAATATCGATATACCGTCTGGGTACATGAAAAAAGCGTAAAATTGTATTGCGTTTGGGTTTCCGTCTGTCGATTTCCGAATAACCAAAGCCAAAATAGGACAGCTCTAATTATTGAGATGTTACATGGCTGGGATATTTCCCTCCATCGAGTAACCCAATCGTGTCTGTCCTCCGTCATCATAATTGTACTACCGTGACTAATGTGTCGAATCTCTTCAATCTATTGATCCGCGTTTTTTTTCCTTTACGTTTTTAAAAGTATGACATTTTTATAAAGTTGAAAGTTCCCGAATCAAACATCAAATAATGACTTAAATACATTTTCAGCTTCACCTCAGCAAGAACTCGTTAAACCAAGAAGATAAGCCCACAAAGGACGTTATGTTTGTTGATGGAAATCGAACTTTTGACGCCGGATCAAAGAAACACCGAGTTCTCATTAATGACGCGGAATTATCTCAAATGCACAGGGAAATTGTGTTAACTGAACGAGGTATTAATTTTCTAATACACTATACTACACACATACCTATATCAAAGTATTAATTTTTTATAGACAGACAGGTATTTCTTCTAATATATAAAATTCTCGTGTCACGGTGTTCGAACTTGAACTCCTCCGAAACGGCTCGACCGATTTTCACCAAATTTCATATGTGTATTCAATAGGACAACATCTATTTTTCACCCCCCTAAGTGATAAGGGTGGTTCACCCTTAAATTATTATTTTTTATTTTTGAACAAAATTTTTAATTTCTATTTTTTTATGATACAACATACAAAAATACATACAATCCTCAATTTTCACCCTTCTACCCTTATTTTTTAATAGACATTTTAGTAAAATTATTTATATGGCAAAACAACGTTTGCCGGCTCAGCTAGTATTTTATAATATGAATGAATTTAGATATGTTTTTTCCATTGTTTTTGTATATAGTTAGTAGATTACTTATCCCTCCTCTATAGTATAATAAGGTGACTGAACAAACGTTTTTTGCCATATTTCGACCAAATTTGATTACCATTAAAACTTATTGTGTGATAATCTCAATAATCTGTCGCGGATTGTTTTTATAATTAATTATAGAAGTATTATTATTTTAACAATTTTTTTCAACTTGAAACATTTGAACCGCTTTCGCAGCCCACGCAACGATATATAATTTACCCCCTTTATTCCACATTTTCTATTGTTACTTCGAAACTATTAGTTGCTAATTTTAGCCTTCCTTGATATATGTTCCAACCAAACAAACAACTTTGTTTTCAATTAAACCAGAGTCAATAATGGAACTATTTTGCAGACCACACAAAGACAGCATCGTCTGACATAATGCCAACGGCCCACACTCTTCCACTGAGCGCGCGACCAGCCTCCGCGTCACAGCTCGTGCGCAGACAACTCGAGATCTGCTCTCAGCATCGCCGTCGTCTTAGTTTACGATGTAAGTAATTGTCTGACAAATATCTAATATTAAATTAATCTTTGACTATATATGAGGTTGCTAGAGCCAGAGAAGCCCAACTGAAATTATTTTAATTATTATTTAAATTTTTATAGTCTATAAATGTTAATCTACAAGAACAGAGACCGAAAATTGGTAGTTATTACTCAAATAATAGTATAAATTCATTTTTATTTTCTTATTGAAATCCATGTTTTTTTTGTTATTAGGCCATTCTGGCTCAAGCCGCCTCAAATAGCTTATAAGTTTGACTTTTATATTATTTTTTAGGCTCTCTTGTCTTGTTGTTATAGTTTAAATAAAACACTTTAACGGTTTAAAACGCGATATATTAGTTAAACTTATTTGAAAATGATTTTTAACTTCAACTCGACGTTTCTGATGCTTTGCAATTCAATTCTGCAAGGACCCGGCCAGTTTCGCCAAATACCAACTTCGACGGAACAGATGGCGCTAGCGTAGCAATTTTTTACTTTGACGTCAGAGACATCCTTCATCTTTAGTCTCCCCGTGACCACGGCTGCTGCAAAGCATCCGAAACGTCGGGCCGAAGTTAAAAATCATTTTCAAATAAGTTTAACTAATATATCACGTTTTAAACTGTTAAAGTGTTTTATTTAAATGTATACTACTCGCGTAAACTATAGACAGTATGTTTAATATTAATTATTTTCATATTTTTATGCTTTTAAAAATTGACTTTAAAAGTGACAAATAAATAAAAAATAAAGAATTATTGTAAAAATAATAAATAAACACGAACCAAAAACAAGTTCTTTTAAACTATGAACTTTATACGTATAATAATGATATAAAGTTAGCTCCATAGTTTCTCCAAGATGGAGTCGAGGTGGTCGACTCCCACAAGCTTAGCGCTTTTCTTAGGTTTTATTTCTCAGTAAGAATATGTTGACGATTTCTGCTATTATCAACTCCAGACATGCAACGCAACAGGACGAGCCCGGAGCGCTCTTCGATGCTCCTGTACGAACCCAACAAGCAGAAGCAACTGGACAAAGGAGACTTTGAACATGCCGCTACTATTAATTAAGTCGGTAGGTAACTTTGATGTCCTCTTAGTAGCAACAAGAGGGACGTATTGGTGGAATAATCGAGGTCTAATAATAAACTTTTCGCGTCACAATGTTAGTCCCTCATCATTAATCTGAGAGTTGGCAACTATATTTTTTTCACCCCCACATTTTATTTGACATGGTGACCCCATATTTATTTTGGGTCTCATTAAATTAGTTTTGTTTTTTACCACATTCATCATAGTGAAAATATTTATCCCTCCAAAGTTGTATTGTGTTATGTTGTACTATTCCAAAATATCTAAATGAATATTCAAGTTCTCACTTTTGCCGAGACTTGCTCGCTTTAGGGATATATGGCTAATATTCAACGGGTCGTGGATTCGATCTCCACACTGTCTGTGTACACCATTGTGCTATTTTTTCTACCCTAGCGACCCTATTAAAATAATTTGTATGGAAAAATATCATACGTCATGCTAAGTTAAGTGTTAAACTACCCATTACATACAAAAGTCAGCGTACATTGTCCAATAATTGTTTTTTTTTTTTTCAGATGATTCAAGATGAACGCGAAATGTGTTGATTAGATTTAATAGAGAATGTTTATTTTAAGTCAAGATTTGTTGATTTTTCGTTTAATTTTATAAGAGAAATAAGTAAATTTTTGTTAACGAAATATTTTTTAGGGTAGCTCGTGTTAAAAGCACTTTGGAAGTCATAGTTGATTGAAATTTTTCGTTCCTTAATTTGTTTTGATAAGGAATTTTACAGTGGTGTAAAGAATTCCTTCTAAAAATCTTTGGGTTTTGGTCATTTATGATTTTCCTTATATAATAATTTAAAATGTCGTCAAAAAGACTTTTTCGTTTATTAAAGCGTTAAAAACTTTACTTATTCAAATTGTATTTCTGAACATTTACAGGGTACGCGAATAATACAAACGTAGTTATAATGTGAAGCACAAAATATTTTTATATCTACGATATAGATTAGTTTTATAGAAATAAATATTAGTGCTACAATTATACGCTGAACGGCTCTTTACTTAAAACGATTTTTGTACCAAAAAACAATTTTTATTTAGTATAACAAAGGGGATTTTTGTAAACTAACGTTGGGGCCCGTCATATTATATTTTTTAAAGATGTGTAAGCTACCACTTAGTATTACGTGTGGTTTAAGATTCTTTATTACAGATTATTATCCTGAAATCCTCTGAAATTAAAGACCATGATATAACATCGATGAATAACCTTGACGCTGCTTTTTGGTTAAAAAATCGCGCGATCGACGAAAAAATACATGGTATCCCGTTACATCCCCTCTCTCCCCTGATCTTTGTTAGACTCCTTTACCCTCTCCATATAGTTGGCCTTTAAACACACAAAACCACTATTAGTGTTCAAGCGATTGTAATAATTATATTAACTTCTTATATTAAATAGTTATAACGTTTTGTATTTTGAGTACAGAGTCTATTAAATTATATAAAGCTATACTTTGTTTCATTCTAGTCTATATATTAAAGGAAAGAAGAAAAAAAGAGTCCGCTTTCTACATTTATTTCACAATATAAATATATATTACAATAATAATCAGTGTTGGCAGTGTCGAAACAGTTACAATCCCCGAATAAATTTTTACATATTGCAACATTCTTAAACTTGTCAAATACATTCTAACCGAATTAATCTAGGGTTTTCTTATTTGTTTCTTTGGAATATTAAGCTGGGTTGTGATTCTCTATTAGTTACTATTTCTGTTAATTATATATACTTATAAATGCTTAATAATACTGCAGTATAAAAATCTATGGCAGCTAAGTGTTTGAATAAATAATTTGGCGCTTTCTCACGTGGCTATACTAAATCTTATGTCGTTCATATACTATCATGATACGTATTATAACTTACACATAACCTCCGAATTCAGATTTATATAGTTAAAAATCGAGTATATTTACCTATATAATATAACTTAGATCGCAATAAAAAAAGAAACAGAGAAATAAAAAAACAGTTCTCTAGTTGTAATTATCACATGAAATTCAAAGCATTTGGAAGATTTTTCACATGTGAAAATTATAATGATTAAATAATATTAACTAATGGCATACGTCATTGAATATTAATAGGTACACAATAAGGTCTTAATTACATCACATGCGGTGCATATAAGCCAGAGAGGATTAAGAAAAATTTTGAGTACGACAAAATAACTCAACTGGTAGAGCTTTGTGTCCCGCCGGTCACATAAATTGAACCTAAATAAAATTTTAAACTTATTCTATCTTATTCATAATTTGTGACGTAAATAAATAAATGGGACGAAAATGAGTGGGCAGTTAATCTCGTATATGCCACTTTAGGAACTTTAGGTGTAAAATAATTTCATACAAAAAACAAACACCGTAAAATCAAACACTTTTAAAAACTTTTGTTTTAAAGGTTCACGACATTTAAAACAAAGGCGTTTGTTGTGTAGTGTTTAAAATGTAAGAATTGTACAACCGTTACATATTTCATAAGACAATATATGAGCCGCCGAAAGTAATAAGGCCAGCACGGCCATAAAAATACGTAAAAAACGATATTTTTACAAAACAATTTTCTTGGCGTTGTATAAGGCGATGGAAATTGGGAAAATGAGATCACATCGATTAAATAATTACAACCTATAAATGCTACGTAGGATAGAAAAGTATAATTGATCTAAATAATTTCACTAATATTAGAAGAGACTGGAATGCGTAGGGACAAGTAAAATTTTACACATTTTAACTATATGGCAAAAATGAGGAGCCAGTTTAACAGGACATAGTGACATTGGTTAAAGGTTAACGACGGTTACGCTAGATTTTAAACAGCCGTTAACTTACTTAGCCCCATATTCTCGAATATATGACAGGTAATAAGTTTCTATGTTTTAAAGACAAACACAAAATGATTAAAATATTAATAGAGAGTGTCTACAACATGTATAAATAAATTATTGTATTTATATGTACAGTTAGCCAAGAAATTACTTTATTTCATACAGATAAAATTATAATGTGTGTATCATTTTCATATATCAATTGAAAAAACGTTGCTTATAAGCCATTATTTTTGAAATTTCTCCTTAGCTAACTGGACATATAGTGTTGACAAGGCTTTAACTTAATATTACAAAATTGTGCTAAAAATTAGACTACTACGCTATGGCATATTATAAATAATTTGTGTTTTTTACAAATCTGTTGATAAAAACTTCATAAGATAATTCGGACTTGTCTGTTAGAAATAATTGTTTATAAACAATTTAACGGTTTAAAACGCAGCGTAAATAACTTAATTTGTTTTTATCCACGACCTAACGCTAAATTAGCTCCGCAGCAAACAAGATATAACGCGTTTTGACCCGTTAGAAGTGTTTATTAAATGCCAACGGTTTTAAAGTGTAAAACGTAATGTAAGATATTGTTTTTAAACGAAGAGAGCTATATTGTGATGTAAGATAAGGTTCTGTTAAGTTTAATTTTCTCAACGATATATAAATGTTTTTATTGAAGGATATTAAGAAATCTTCAACCTACATAAAATCAAGTAAACGTACATTTGTTGAGCGTTAAATAAATTCCGTGACAGTGGCCCAATATGTATAATATTACGCGTTCATTAAACAGAAATCGAATGCAATACCAGAAATATTAGTGAAAGTTGTATAAAACAAAATTTGGCACTCCCGGGCTTGAGCAGGAAGAACGAAATGTCAAACGTCTACCTTAAGTCACTATACATGCCTATTATATATTTATACAATTTACAAATACGCCGCGATACTGTAATAACAATAGTTAGTACTTGGAGACACATTAATGAACTGTAAGATATCCAGTTGACAAACATTTGGAAAAAAAAATATATAATTTTAATTCGTCAAAATGTTATTGTTTGATTGTTTAAAGGAATTTCTTTGGAGATGTACTGATGAAGACTTTTGAAGTATCCTGGTGCGGTTTTAATTAAATCAGAGAGGCTCAATGACTAGAGAAAGATGTCGCCAGGTTTGAATCATATGAATATTTGTGCAGATAAGGAGGATGAAGAGGACACAGTACGGTACACTATCCCCGAGTTTTCAATTATACTCGACGTTAAAAAGAATATCTATAATTGATTGTGATTAACAACATAAGATAAAGTGAAAATAAAAAATGAGGGTAATTAGTCCTCTCAATCAAAAAATGCGCTCACTTTGACAAAATTACCTCGAACTATTCTGTATAGACGAATCATCGTCCGCGAAGCTGGCTCTATTTCGTCGCTCGCACCTTTTCTGGTGCTGTCGTATGAAGGCACTTAACCTGTTCAACAAGAACTGTTTATCGTGACCTTCTAGAACCAGCTGGTTCTTCAGAACCGTAACCATATGCCTATTGGCCGTCGCAACAGCCCAGTAATAGTAGAGGAAGAATAGCAGAACAGCGAACGCTGGTACCGCAAAAGTCGACGTACCGAGGAGGAAGATAAACTCCCGAAAGACATTTGGGAACGTCTCAAATGTTATAACTACGTACTCCCACACAGTGGAGTAACCCCTGAAGGGGCCGCAATTAACTGACGGCATTATCTCGGCTATGGAATAGGCTACGGGCGCTATCGATATCACAAAGCCCAGCAACAGAACAGACATAAATAGCGACTTAGATTTGGAAGCTTTGTAAACGATCGGCGACGGAGTACTGTTGACTAGACACGCGAACTTCTTCATATAGAACGTTAGGAAGGAGTACAACATTCCAATGATCGGCAGAAATGGACAAAAGAAAGCGCCCATCCATATTATCGTTTGAAGATACACAATGTCCAGCACGTGTCTAGGTAAATAAAACTCCTGAGTGCCGATGAACTTCAAGCACGAGCTGTTCGTGTGCCGCGCGATGAACGAACGAGGGAAGTTTATGAAGAACGTCATAACGAACTGAACGGCGAAGTCTGTCAAGATCAGCTTGTACAGCTGCTGCCCGAAGTAGGTCTCCCAGCATTCGAGACGAGACTCCTCGGAGAATACTGAACAGATCACCCTGTTGGGATTGGTCACTTGGATATAGATCTGACTAAGCAGCACGGCGAAGGCAGACAGACGCAAGAGCACCGTCCGCAACAACGATATGAAGACGACATGCGCAGGATTGTAATTCTCATACTTGATTAGATGCTCAAAGATCTCCGGGACGATTATGTTCAACACCACTATGCATATAGAGGGCAAGAATTCCAGAACGATATTCTGGAACCTTCCGAACGAGTAACCCTCTCTGTACAGCTCTAGCGTCAATCTTTCTGCCGTCCCGTTTCTGACGGTCTGGTCGTTACTGGAGATTTGTTCGTCCAGCAGATCCATGGAATAATTGAACGCGAAGTATATCAAAACACCGGACGCGACTAGAATTATTAAAACGATAAGGTTAACTAACAGACGGCGTAGATGCATAAAGAAATGGCTCTCCTTACTGCGCAGCTGCTTTTCCTCGTTAAATCTCTCTTCTTCGAGGCAGCCTTTGATTTCATTGTACAACGCTTTGTGCTTGATTTTAGCGGATTTCTCATTGTGGATACAGAAATCCCACCCGCCGAAGACTAGATTACAGTACATGTAGAATTGACCTTCGCTCTCTACTAATCGCTCTTTGAAACCCTTCGCTCCGGTTTTGACTATCGCTACGAGCGAAAACAGCGCCCAGGATATGGGGACTAGAATGAACGCCATCGGCATGTTGTAGAACATCTCCGTATCCCACAGCCTATGGACGAAGTACGAGTAGATTTGATCACTGTAGACGCCGTAGAAGAGAATGGTTCGCTCCATCCAGCCAGTGCCTTGTATTAAGTCTAGGATCACATTATTCCCGGTCACGTTCCGGTTGAAGTACGCTTCGGAACAGCAGACTGTCGAATTGGGGTACGTCTCGTTGCAGGACAACTTGTCCTCGACTAGCAACACTTCGGGGAGGATGAGGAAGACGATGACGAAGAGCGATATGGCAATGTTGAGGAAGAACAACCAGCGGAGGAAGAGGAAGTAAGAGACGACGCCGACGCCGAATTTCCCCTCGATTTCTCGGAGGGCGGATCGCCATAGCTCGAATTTGCCCACCACCTCGGTGAAGCGGATGCGGAAGCGGTGCCACACTTTGCGCTGCCGCCATTGCAGCTGCTCGAATCCTTGGAGGCGGAGTTTTGTTGCGTTCTGGAAGTAAGTGTTTTCTTAAAACTCCATTACACAAAATAAGTATGACATAATTAAGTGGAAAAAATTTGACGATGAGGTGTGGGGCTCGGTAGCTCAATTGGTTAGGTTAGGTTAGTTGACGATGGCGGTTCAAGTCCTGCCCGAGTCGATTTTTTTTTCAATTCATTTTTTATTTCTATCCATAATTAAGGCTCTTATGTAATTTATAAAATGTATAATGCTTTCGCGGCCATTTTGTAAAGCGTCTTGTGTTTTCAAGCTGTTCGGACGTCGTGTTAGAGAATTCGAATCGATGTTGTCTATAACGAGTGGATGAATTTAGCATATATTGCGAAGACTAACAGTAGTCAGTTTTACTCAGCACTTTAGTTTCATACCTGTAGCCTAGCTTTCAAGTCTCTCTTCTGGTGCATGGGAACAGGCATCGCTTTGATCTGCATAATTTCCTCCCAAGTTCGTTCTTCGTTTGACAGATTTTCTGAAAATGTAATATCACTAGCTGTTAACTGGCTCAATTCTAACATTGTATAGCTAACAACCATCATCAGATCGTGGGTTCGGTTCCCACATGTAGAAAATAGTAAGAATATAATAAATTATTTTCGGGTCACGAACTACTGACTACAGTAGTCGTGTAATGTAAATTGAATGCTCAAAACCAACATAGGTCGATAGCGCATAGTGTTTAGATGTTATATTGAGGTATTTCACCTTCAGGTGAATTCCGTGATCTCTGTCTTCCTGTCATAAAAAAAAAAAATTTTTTCAACATGTTCCCAAACGAATGTGATGTTGGGCTTTGCACTCCGGTTAAAAATTAACTCGCTTCCACGTACAATTAACTTTATGACGTCAAACAAATAAGGACCTTAACAGCAATTTAGTACTTATCAAAGTCTGTGTTCGATGTAATGCGAATGACTTAATGGAATTTCTTATGAGTTCAATCGAATTGAATCTAGATAGATCATAATTATATAAATTTTAATAGTTAAATGATATTGCAATGTTTAAAACTTATATGAATTATTAAAACATATAAAAGACAGAACACTAGTTCAGTTTTCAACGTCCAGTTGCTTATTGCTCTACCGATAGAGCTATCAGACCGTGTATGCTTCCAAATTTCTCAATCCTATTGAGTGTACATGTTAGATGCTGGTATTTTTATTAAAACCATATAAAAAACTTCATAATCACATAAAATGTTTGTAATTTATGCGAGTAATATACATATAAAAAAATTAACGGTTTAAAACGCGAATTAGTTCCCCCGTAACCACGAGTGCTGCAAAGCATTTAAAGTTTTAGTATTATTATTATTTTTTTTATATTTAGTACAATGACTTTGGTTTTAATGGCTTATGGTAATAAATTAATTTATTTGGTTTTTAGTAAAAAAAAATGCATATTTCGCTTTTAAAACCGTTATAAGTGTTTTATTTAAATATTTCTGTCTAAATACTTACCAGATAAATCTGGTAACATGGAGAGGTGTATGTCTCTACTTTGCGTCGTCCGCGCATACGTCGACTGTCGGCGTTCATTTTGAGATCTAGCACGTTTTGCTGTGGTCGCTGAAATTAAAAAGTCGGATTATCAATTTTAGGCATATTTATATTCATAGTGTATATACATGTAAGAACATAGCAGTAATCTATTTATTATATTATTTTGGTAGTCGAAAAAAATCCCTATATACATAAAACATACATATGCATTTCTCTAGCTTGATGCCTAATATCCTGAGTCTTCTCCACCGAACCATTGTTTAATATACCCAGGACCCATTGATTATTAGCCATACATTGCTACCATAACTTAACTAACTTACTATTTCTAGCCTGCTTTGAAGGTAACAGTGTTGCCAGCTTGGTAGCATCAGCCCTCTGGAGATTGTCGAAGAGCTCCTGTTCTCCCCCCGGATAAAGCTCCTGGTAGAACTCTCCCCCCGCCTCCTCCCACCCTTCATGCCGCTTCGAGCGCGACTTGTTTTTCGAATTACCTCCTGACATTCTTTATGCCATTTTCTGAAATATTTAATTTAGACGTTTAACATACATATCGAAGTGTATTTTTACGCAGTACCAAGTAGTACAAATTGAATCGTTTAAAAAATACTGTCTATAGTTTACGCGAGTAGTACACATTTAAATAAAACACTTTTAACGGTTTAAAACGCGATATATTACGATATTATTATTATTACGATATTACGTCGGGCCGAAGTTAAAAATCATTTTCAAATAAGTTTAACTAATATATCGCGTTTTAAACCGTTAAAGTCGTTTAAAAAAATCAAAATTTTTATGCGTGATGGATAAGAAAAGTATTAGCTATATTTACTAGTAATAGCTTAAAATCTCAAAAGGTAAGTAGTGTTCCTGTGTACTTTCAGATTAGTGTGTTTTAACGGAGGAAATAAATAAATAATTTCAATAACTTGACTGTATTTTAAAATTTAAATCCCCCTTTTTTTTTTTTTAAATGAACCTTTAATATTTTTTGAAAAAAAAAAAAAAAACATTATGTTATTTCATTTATACAGTTTTTGCGTCTTAATTCCTAAGCGTACCTACCTATCCGAATGCCCTAACATGATAGCGCTAAGTCCTTGCCGCAAGGGGGAAGGGGTTTTGGGGGTTTTTTTTTTTTTTTTTTTTTTTTTTTTTGGGTTTTTTTTTTTTTTTTTTTTTTTTTTTTTTTTTTTTTTTTTTTTTTTTTTCACAAGAAAGAAATAGGAAGGTGTTTGTGTTGGTTCCCATTATCGCATTATGTAAATTACCTTAGATTTAGCAACCATAAGCTATCTGAAATTGATTTTAATTATCTTATTTTCAATCCAAATTGCCGCTTAATATATGTAGCCTCGTAAAGGGTACCAACTAAAGAACCCTTAAAAGATTTGCAAACAGCAATATTTTATAGGTATTGATGCCTCAAATCTAGGTGACCTGGATTGATGGAACGTTGAGCAGAAGTCCTTCACGCATATCCGATATAAAATGGTGTTTAAATAAATAATGGATGCCGTTTCTAACACTTGACTGCAAACACAGGTCTTGGACAAAGGGGGAAGAACCTTTTGCCTGATAAAGGTAAGCCTAGTCCATCGACACATTTTATACTTGGGCCCATTGCATAATTTTTAAACTTGAGAATAAAATACTGTCTATAGTTTACGCGAGTAGTACACATTTAAATAAAACGCTTTAACGGTTTAAAACGCGATATATTAGTTAAACTTATTTGTCATCATTTACAAATAAGTTTAACTAATATATCGCGCTTTAAACCGTTAAAGTGTTTTATTTAAAATTAAGAATAGTTCTTTTGGGCATCAAAATTTGTTTTAGCAAACTTCCTCATCTTTATTTATTATAGCTGTTACCCGCGACGTTGGTCGCATCCCGTCGTTCTTGCAAGTATATCTTAATTAACTTAAAAGATGTACTACGGCGGTGTTCTGTAGATTATTTAAACCATTGTTTGGTTATCTTGAACCGTTTTCGAAGAGCACGCAACGGAAACCCTCAAAGTAATTTATTCCATATTTCCCATTGCTTCTTCGCTCATATTGGTCGTACCGTGATGTTTTATAGCCTAAAGCCTTCCTCGATAAATTGTCTAACCAACACGAAAATATTTTTTAAATTCCAGCAGTTTCTGAGATTAGCGCGCTCAAACAAACTCTGCACCTTTATAATATTAGTACAGATCAATAATATTTAAATAAAACACTTGACCGGTTTAAAACGCGATATATTAGTTAAACTTATTTGAAAATGATTTTTAACTGTCACGGGTCACGGGGAGACCACGTCTGCTGCCAAGCATTCGAAACGTCGGGCCGAAGTTAAAAATAATTTTCAAATAAGTTTAGCTAATATATCGCGTTTTAAACCGTTAAAGTGTTTTATTTAAATGTGTACTACTCGCGTAAACTATAGACAGTATTTAGATCAATAATAGAAAAAACTTTCAATCAAATTTGATGTCCCCTTTTGCCCTGGGTTTGTAAAGTGCATATTCCTCTTTCTCATTAAAACTTGAATTTTTCATAATCATACATGTCTGTCATTACTTACATTTTCACATTCAGAGTATTGTGGCACTTATCGCTTTTGCAACTCAGTATTCAAATAACATATATATTTGTGTAAGTCGGAGAATTAACAACACAAAGCGATGATAGTTTATCAGTAAATGACCAGTATGCATATGATATGATCAGTACCTATTATTTCACTATCACCTATCAAGTAAACAAGGAATGTTTGTAGCAAACGCTATGTACTTAAAAGAAATATACATATGTCTGTGTTTCATTCTTTTGTACTTATCAGAGGAAGTTAATTGAATACTAAATACTGATAAGGTGAATCATTTTGATTAGATTAATAAAAACAATAGTGTGAGATCATAATTCTATTTGCCTAACTTCTATGGCCATGTTTTATAAAATACAAGCTACTTTGATCGGCTGTCAACGTCAGTCTACCTGGGAGGTAGTTGGTAACACATTAATAAAAAAATCTCACCTAAACACCACTACCACACAATTATCAGACTGGGACTCAGTCTAGACAGAAAAAGCTTCTAGATCAACAAGATCTATACACCATTTTGTACATTCCAAAATCGCATATAATTAGTCTTTGTTACTTTTTGTTTAACACGGTTTGATAATATAAACTTCAATATGGTATAATTGCATGACCTTTTAAATAACCTATACATAGATAACTGGACTTTAAAGGAAAAGACAGAGATACAAATTTATCACTTTCTACTTATATTACTCCCTTTATTCATATAATTGATTATAAAACAATAGCATCATAAAAAGTAAAGTCCTACAAGTGGTTCTAGAGTGTGATTGATTCACCGAATTATTTTATGAACAATATGCCTATAGTGTGCTTCCCAAACAAAACTACAAACCATTGTGTTGTTCTGGGATGCTACAATCGGTACCTCTTGCCTATATTGCAGTTAACTACTGAGCCCTAGAGGAATCACTAATATATTACAATAGCAATAGCTTTTGGTATAGATGTTTAAAAATTGTAATACCATTGAAGTTGAATGTTTTTTATTGTATGTGAGTGACCTTCCAGGTAATAACAAACAAGGCTTTAACAATTCACAGAGTAAAAAGTGTACTCTTGTAAAAACTGTTTGCATATTTGACCTTGTAAACTTGTTTGAAAATTCCTAGTTTAGATCTTTAGGACCACCAGATAAGTCAAATATATATCTGGTCAATAATGTCAAAATTTGCATAGTTATTTGATACCACCAATATAGTATTTTATATTCTTTTTAATTATTTTTATTTTACTGAATATTTAAAGCCATTTATATTAACGACCATGCTCTAAATTGTCTCTTTGAAATTGTAAATTAAAAGAAATATGAATCATTAACCGCCTATTAAAGCTACAATATGTCTTATTATTCACATTAAAGAATAAGTAATTAATTAGATTGCCGACAACATGAGGATTTTATATTTATACCGTAATTTTAAATATACCTTTTAGGTTGAAAATGCCATTATAAGTTATTGATGTTTACACGTAATGTATTTATAATATTGTCAATTTAAATAAATGTATGTCGCGAGTTCAACATAGTGTTCTTTGAAATATTATTAGTCATAAACAAACGGGATATGTACACTTACCTCTCGTTTACTAAGAAATCTAACAGATCCTAGTTCACAAAACAATATTTTCCACACAAATGCGACATAGCGTTCGTTTTATTTTCAATAATACCTCGCGATGTTATTTTGTATTGATACAGTAAGTATACAAGATATCTAATCCAAACCAAAATAAGCCACAAGCACAAATCCACAAGGAGTGGTGCTTCACGTTCGGAAACCGCTAATGTAATTTACGTCAATAATGTCATTAATGACAGCTGTCGGATGCAATTAAAACATAATAATATAAATAATATATATTTTTAAGTATACAAAATATTATTTGTTATAATAACATATTGTTTTATATAAATTGCACAAGTACAAAATTTTGTTGTGTGAAGTATAACGATCTGTATAGTTATGTGTGGTTTCTAAACGTTTCTTAGTGAAGGAAATAGAAATCTTCTCTTAATGTTTTAGTTTTAAAATCATGAATATGGATGTATCTTTTATATACATAAATAATGTATGTCCAGTTGTCTCTAAATAGAGATCCGACTATTAATAGATAATAACTTTAGTGACATTTCTTTAATAATATCAAATAGCATAAAAGTCATCGATTAAACACTATAAACTGATTTTTTAAAGGCGCTAGCGAGACAGTTGCATAAAAAAATTAGATTCAGATCTTCAAGCCCCTTTTATTGAATTTCCTCAGACAAGGAAATACTCGGGAATCGTTGGCTTATTGCTTTAGCTGGCGTGGCGAATGTAAATCAATATAGGATTTTTTCTTATTTTTTGTTTTTACGGGTTTGACTGCACTGTATTATTGTCCCGCCAATCGTGTAAAGGAGCTATAGACCCTGTACAATATATTTGACGTGAGCAATACCAACACGTCGGGTCTTCGGCGTGTGGAGTTCGCTGTTCGATGCAGCGCTCATCTGCGCGAAAAGCCCGGGAATTTGCTCAGCAGCGCTTGACACTCGCGCAGCATCCCGCGCTCCGAAGATCGCATCTCAAGTAATGATTATTTCGGTCCACGGCCATAGTTCCGCGTATTGCCGCGGCGCTGAATCAAGAGCGAACTATATTATTCTACATGCCACTTAAAACGCAATTTTACAATAAAGAACATTAATAAACCAACGCCATTTGCAATAAACTGTGTTTTGTGTTAATTGTGTTTCGTTATCTCGATGTGAGGTCGTCGGATCCATTGTCGCGATGTCGTCCATTTAGGTCCTATCCAGGGACATGGCTGAAAGGATTGAGCTAAATTTGTTAGAATAATTTCATTGTTCCGCAAAGATGTGCACATTTATCGTGCTCCACCGAAGTAGCGCGCACTGGCGGTATTCGAGTTATGTGAGAAACGGAAACACCTAAATCGCAAGGTCAATAATTTTCTGAAAATGCCCTCAACTGTTACCACCCAAAGGGGATCCTACGCGTCCGCATAAACGTCATGGATATTAAGAAAATATTGATACTCGTCGCTATTTTCGCGACAGTTATCGCCGAGAACGATGTCGAGAAGAATAAAGAAGCCCTGGCGGCGAAAAAAGGACAGTCGCGGTCGGCCTCACCCGAGCCGGTGCGAGGCTCCTTTCAGAAGCTCTCGAACCTAATGAACAGGAGCGAGGAGTTCAAGAACCGGCGCCGGGGTAAGCAGCACATCAGCAAGCTGCTGCAAATCGGCCCGAGAAACGCACACGAGAACATGATGAATGATAACGAGGGAGCGATCTCCAATCAGAAGTCAATTACTGATAACGACACCAACTCCTTGACCAAAATAAAGACTATGCGCCCGGCAGGTTCCACCTACGAGGCGACATATAAGAGCACCCATGTGCCACAAGTAGTCGGAGGCTTCTGTAACTTCGAGCCGACGAATTCTACAGACATTTGTATGTGGCAGTGGAATCAGACGACCTCCAGTCACGGCCTGGGGTTCAAAGTGGTGACACCGGCGGATGTAGAGCAGATGAACCAAACGACGCAAGGCTTGAAGTTCTCCGCGCCCGCCTTGGACGCGGATTTTAGGAAAGATGGTGAGTGCTTGCAAGGTTCAAGTAACTAGTAGCGAAAAGGCACGAAGCACGACGAAAAATACACGAACAAGTAACGAGTAACGATAAAACTAAGAATATTGACGTCTATTTTTGACATACAGCAAATTCGATAAACGTTTTACAGTAACGGTTCGCCGAGCACATAGTACTTTTAAATATTCACAGTTTTTTGTTAAACAGTTGTCTAAAATATTTATTCCAATAATTAGGCGCGAAGGATGCTTCAGTATGCATTATTGATTGGAGGAGCAGCGCACTTCACCGGCGAACACGTCAAAAGCCATAATCGATGTTTAAAGTAACGTTTCTGCGGAGGCTTGGAGGAAAACTGTTGCGCATAAAATGTCAAGGTTCGCGTATGTATTGTATGGGGAATATTTTCATACAATACAAGAGTTTAAAACGCGAAATATATGCGTCTCTTTATTATAATTTGTCGTCAGTCACATATAAATTACAGCGTCGCGATTAAAACTTAATTCTTATATCCAATATAATACGGGTGTGAAACAGTTAGTTTTCAAACTAAGTATGTTATTAAAAAATCTTTATATTTTGATAACTTTAAATTCCAAATGTTAAAATATAATATACAGATAAAGAAAAGTTTAGAAAAAATAACGTTAATATTAACATATATATTTCGCGTTGTTAATCGTAAAACTAGTGCTCTCGCGTAAAATTCATTCACCATTTTAAACCAATTTCTTGTTATTTAGAAAGTGTTGATAATTTAAAATGTTTTATTTTTGTCACGAAACAATGCTAAAGAACTTAACGTTTCGGTGAAACATTTGTTTGTGAATCTCTTGACAAGTCTTAGCCAAGTGGATATATACAGAAATTGTAGATGTAATCTTTCTATCCATTCCTCGTCCGCTATGAGGTAACTACTATATACTACTATTACCCGCAGTCATCATTTGATCAGAATCATTCGACCATCGTGGTATACTTTCCTACGTGAGGCCCACGCCCATGTTTGGGAACTATTAAAGTGTACAAATACAAATGTATAATCTAAACTAAACATCGAGCACAAATTAACAAAATATATATATATATATATGACACGGGCAGGAAAGCGATATCTAGATCGATTTTGAATATAAGGCCATGACGTGCAAAACCATGTAAAAAAATATTAAAGTTTTCAAATGATTTAATTTAATTTTTCAATTCAAATATTATCTGTAAAATACTCGAATACACTTTTTAATATGACAATTTTAACGGTTTAAAATGCCAACCATACGTGACCACATCTGCTGCAAAGCATCCTAAACGTCTTAAAACGTCGTCTTTAAGAGAAATTACAATAAGTTCAACTATTTCGTTCTTAAACCGTTTAAAGTGTTTCCTTTAATATATATGTGTTGGCGACACATCTATTATCAACATATATGTTTTTGTTGTATAATTTGATACGCTTTGAAACCAAGAGTCTCGTTCAAATTGAATCATTATGACGATATCATTTGATTTCCGTTTATCTCGGGACAGACGGGAGGCGAAGTGACAAATATGATTGGATGTTTCAATTTATTTTGTTGTAAATATTGCGTTAGTGATTTTTATATCTTTAAAATAGGACACTCACAAAAATACCTCCTTAGATATTAATTTGTCTCTGTTTTATAATATACTGTGTCAGCGACTTCGTCCGAAAGATACATCTTCCGATGTATCTTCTCTAACAATCACAAAAATAATTTTTCAATTCCTACCAGTAATTCCTGAGATCAGCGCGCTCAAACAAAGAAACAAGCTATATAATTTAAAAATCGAAAAAAAATTGAAAAAAAAATCGACTCGGGCAGGACCTGAACCGGCATCGTCAGCGTTCCGTGCTGTTGCCTTTTTGTCAATTTATTTTCGATTTTTAAATTATATAGTACCTTCATGTGCATATGTAACATGTAAAAAATAATAAAGTTTTCAAACAAACAAACTCTTCAGCTTTGTATATTAGTATAAATCGCGGCGAAAAATTTGTTTTTCTAAGATATATATTATGATTTATTATAACGTATAAATAAATCTAAATCGATTAGCTTAGACGATATTACTTTGTATATTTAGACGTCTCTAGAATTGCGTTAAGCACAAGATATCCTAGGTTCGAAACAAAAACATTTTCGGTCGAGCTGGGCACAGGACTGATCCTGCAAATAAAATTCATCGGTTAAAGACACAGAAGAGTGTGTGAAAACAAATGTACTTATACGTTGCTCACCATATGAAAGGAAATATTTGACGCAGACAATGGCATTTAAATGGACTTGGCTAAAATTAGATGATTGTTCGTCTTGTCTTCAAACAAGGGTTTAAATAAATGACTTGTATGCTTAAGCTATTTTAACACTTACGACATAATTGTCCCATAGAATAATAAAAATAGGGGGGTAAAGTGAACTCCCGCTTCCTCTTATGGGGCGTGGGACGAACACATTTGTGTCCTTTGCCTGGTCTTTTACAGACAAGATTATCAGACTTCTATGCCCTGCCTATTAAAATGAACTATTGTCTCCCAAGATACGAACCCAGGACCAGGACCTCTCTCGATTAACAGCAATGCTGAAACATTGGGCTTTAACCATTGGGCTACAGAGGTGGTCATTAGGAGTGTTGGTTTAACTAAGGAGGCGACGCTATGCTCAAGACACCCCCTTTTAATTGGGCTGGAAGCTTTGGAGTTGCACAAAGTTCCCAGGTCTCCCCAAAAACCCCTAGGACTGGTTTGTTAGCTGGTAGTTTGTAAGGTTTCAAATTTCAAAATATTTGTTCATATATGATAAGCAATTTATTCCCCAACACTGCTGAAAAATAAAACACTCTTTAACGATTGAAAATGCGAAAAATATTACTTAACTTGTTTAGAATTTACTTTAACTATGCCCCGACGTTTCTAAGACTTTGCAGCCCGTTGTACCCGTGACCACGTACAAGTTAACAAACATATTTTGCGTTTTAAAATGTTAAAAGAGCCTAAGACAATTTATTTAAACGAAACTGTCTTTGATTCACAGGAAGCACGCTCTTTAAAGATTAAATGACTTAATCAGCTTGATCTTCGTACATGCTATTAAACTCACATAATATAATTCTGACATCATGTCTTTTCTTTCCCAGGTCACTTCCTCTACCTACCAGTGGACCCAACAATGGAGAACATGGTGATAAAATCGCCACCTTTTCGCGGTCTTCGCGAATTTTGCAAGGTAAATATCGTTCGTTGAATGTTATATCAGTCGTCTTAACGAATACTATATAATTATTTTGGATGAACTATTTTAATCTCTAGATGATAGAAGGATAAATACTTTTATTCTGAAACAACATTTACAATTAAAACTTAATTTAATAACCAATATCAAGAGGTAAATAAAAATTTAAATTAATTACTACAATATAGTTGCAAATAGAAGAATACAAAATGGTCTAAGAGGTGTCAATTTTCTTAGGGTTTTTAAATTTTCATTGGGAATTCAGGTTACTTCTACTACATTAAATTAAAATTTATAAATTTTTAAAAAAATACGACTCGGGCAGAACTCGAACGGGCGTCCACAGCGTTCCGTGCTGTTGGTATAACTAATTGATCTTTTCAATGTATATCTAATCGATTTTCAATTTATATCATGTCCATAATTTAATGTATATAGCATAACATGTGAAAAATATTATAGTTTTCAAATGTTAAAGACATTATGAAGTCTATGGGGGAGCCCTTTGCCCGCCGGGGGAACCGGAAGGCCGGTTTGTTGGGATTTTTTTAAATTTTTTTGTTTTTTCTGCAGTTCGAAGTAAAAATGCACCAAAGTAAAATGCAGAACGCAAGCATCAGGTTGGTGTCAGAATCAACCATTTCAGAAGTCCAATGGATTCTACAGGAATTCGCTGGAAATAACGTTGAATTGTAAGTTTTGTTTACCTACCTTCTTAATTTCTTTTGCGAACGTGCTGACAAAGCAATGACCTGGCAAACTTTGTTAAACTTTTGCCATGAGAAGAATTTTTACCAACTTTGATTACCATAAAAACGGTTTATTGTGACTTATTTAAAAGACTGTCGATGACAATTTTAAGATTATATAGAGAAGATCTTAGTACTCTCTTTATTACTATTTAAAGAATGTTTCAGTGTCTTGTTGAGTTTTCTCCTTTCCTCATTTCCCACTGGTCCTTGGCTTCTGGTCACAGTCTAATGTTTTATAAACTACAGCCTTCCTGGATAAATGGGCCAAAAACACAAAAAAACATTTTTTGAAACCAGTAGTAAACATAGTTTTCAGCTTCAAAAATGATTTATCCTTGTTATTGACTGCGGTCAGTAAATTTTAAATTAATAAAGAATATTTAAAGAAAACACTTTAACGGTTTAAAACGCGATATATTAGTTAAACTTATTTGAAAATATGTTAGTCAAGATTTTTAAGCCGTGGTCTCCCCGTGGCCACGGCTGCTGCAAAGCATCCGAAACGTCGAGCCGAGTTATCAAATAAGTTTAACTAATATACCGCCGTTTTAAACCGTAGTTTTTACTAATGTGTACTACTCGCGTCTGCGTTTTATTTATTATTTCCTCTGAGTCCATGGCACATTTCAGTATATTTACAGTAATTGTTTGCTTTTCTTTGACCGATGATTCATAGCCAGTACTTCAGGCTAAATTAAAGGCTCTGTAGTAAGAATCCTTGGATACCCTCGTAGATTTCAAAACACCTCCATCTTTTTCAGGTGGCAACCAATGCGCTTCATGATTGGGAAAGTCCAGCAAGAAGTGCGCATCATAATAGAGATAACAAAGCCGAACTACGTCAGCGTCACCCAAGTTCTGCCCCATATAGCCATAGACAACATTCGGATGGTGGAGTGCTTGCCTGAACCACCTGTTTACAACGGGGAGTGCCAGTTTAGGCAGCTCAAATGTAAAATTATGAAGGTACGTTTCTACCGACAGAGATGGACACGCATGGGATTTACTCGGGAGCCAAAGAAGGTCAACAGCTTCTTGTTTAGATGTCATATCGACTGAGGTATTTTATCTAGTAGAGTAAGCTCCATGCCTGTCTATCTATCATAAAATGACACAGAATGAAAACCTATTATTCACGTATTCCGTCTGTGGACGTGGGTTTGTAACCAGGACTATATTTCGATATTCCTACCACCTAATGGTCAGTTTTCCAATCAAAATCCGACATGTTGTTGGACTTAAAATTTCCATTGTGATCGATCCCGCGGCTATTAGGCATACGATGCTACCAATAAAACAACAAGCCAAGCTTATAATAAGTATTATAAATAAGACTATAATATTTATTCGCAGAAGGATTCCTGCATCAAGTCGCAACAAATCTGCGATTTAGTCAAGGATTGTGACGACGGAGTGGATGAGCACCAGAACTGCGGTAAGATTGAATATTGTCTGTAATTACGCAAGTCACACTTTTAACGGTTTAAACCGCGAAGTATATGACATTAAGTGACTTTTAATTTATTTTAACTACGGCCCGTGTCGGATGCTTTGACGCGGGGGATGTCCCTAATGATTATGACAAAACGCTTGCGCTATCTCTATGAAAATAAGTTTTTTGTTTGTTCGTGACGATATCAAAAACGCATGTTTTATTTACAGTGAAAATGCCATACGGATCTTATTGCAACTTTGAACATGACACGTGCGGCTTCGAAAATGTGCCTCAGTAAGTTTAACTCGTTAATGACTTAAATAAACCTTTGCAAGAAAATAAAAATTTTACGCGAATGAGGTCCGAATCTACGACCCGTGATAATCATATTATTGATTTGTTGTTTTTATAGCTATAGTGATAAATCTTAATGAAGAAGCAAAGTACTTCTAAATTTACTCCCTGCTGTTCTTTGTCAAAGAAGTAACGCTATATTGTGTTTCAATGTATGATACAAAACAAAACACTTTTAAACTACGACCCGACGTTTTGGATGCTTTATATCAGCAGTAGTAACAGTCACAGACTCACGCATCCATATTTTCGTAGTCAACAATGTATAAACTAATATACTTTGTGTTTAAAACTAGTAAAATTTAGTTTATAGAGTTACCGAGCAATTTTGATGTTTAAAACAGTTTCGTTCAATTTAATGACGCAATATGTATTAAATTAATTTTTATTTTATTGAATCATTATTTTTAATGTTTGTTCTAGGCCCATTTTGAAATGGTCTCGCCACAGCGGGCCCACGCCCACGGACAAAACTGGCCCCAACTACGACCACACCTGTGGTCCCCCACAAATCCTATACACAACGACGAATCCTATAATACCTTTGTCGCCTGCGCATAGGAATTATTCAATTTCCTCCTGCGTGGGATATTATTTCTTTGTAAATATGAATGTGACTGGACCAAATAAGGAGAGGGCAGATTTCGCGTCTACTGCTGTTATGAAGACTGTGGTTTTTAATCCACCACCAAAAGTTCATGGGAACATAACTTCGAAATATTATAACTGCTGCACGGTGAGTACTTTACTTGACTTTGTTTCTTACATTAAACTATATTTATCGCTTTACACAACACACACAATTACAAAAAAATTAAAACTATGTGAGGCAAACTTTTGTTGTTTTGTTGAAATTAATGTAAGTTTAATTAGAACAATTTCAACGGATTAAAACGCGAAATGTACTGTCAAAATAAATTGCAAATAAGCTGATGAATGAAAAAATAATAATAATGATAGATCTAATGATAATGATGAAAAGACTGACTGTCAAACCAGAAAAACACTAAACTAAAAAAGTATAGATCATAAATACGAGGAGGTTAAGTGAAAATATGATGGGCTTGAAGTGGTGTTCAATCGAAGATTAATTAAATTCTTCTTCACATACTTTGTGAAGAAGAATTTGTTACATAGTTGTGCCAAATTGGTTTCAGCTACGTAATATAAGCAACAAACCTTATACCTTCTTAGATTATACATTTCTATGCAAAGCTACAGTATGTTCTTTTATTCAGATTCGCTTCTATTATCAACAAAACGGCCGAAACTATGGATCGCTAAGCGTTGATGTTGTCGAGCTTACTTCAAGGGGGAACATAACAACATCACTCTGGTTCTCCACCAAGGATAAAGGGGAAAATTGGTATAGAGCTGCAATTTTCCTGCCCAATATTACGAGCAGGTAATACATCTAATATCTAAGAGGGTAATACGTTCGGGGTTCACTTGTGGACAGTGAAAAGCCGCAAATGTAATATGTGTAGTCGACCTATTTGAGCTTTAGGCCTATTTAAAATACAGCAAGGGTTTTCATAAGAATAAATGGTTGTTGACTTAGATTGAATGATAAGCCTACCTATGTCATGATGATGGTACAGATATGGAATCTAGGATGGGTCGGTGGGGGGGGGGGGGGTTCATGCGGTCAGGTCTTAAGTTCTTCAAGAGTACAATTAAGAATTTTTATACATTAATAGAATACCTACTTTTTATCCATTGTTATCAACATTCAATTAAAAGTTCTTGACTTGACCACGATATTAATATACTGGGTGGTAATATTGGTTCTCGATTAATTGTTTTTTTCATCAGGTATTACTTCCTGTTCAAAACGCGCATGGGCATGAGGATATACTCAGATTCAGCGATAGACGACTTTTCAATGGCACCAGAATGCTTCGGGCTAAATATAAACGCGTCAGAACTGGGAGATTATAATTATTACGACCCAGTGTTTGAAGAGAAGACGACGCCGCATGTAGATTTCGCTGAGTCGACGTGTAAGTTAAAACTCCATACTTTTTCAGTAGACACGTAATTCGCGAGAACCGAACTTCAATACAGCGTCTTTTGACCGATTTCGAAAATAAGTTACACATTTACTTAAATTATAAGTATCATAGCTGAAAAAATAGGCCAAAATTATTATTACTATTTAGTTTGGGATGCCTAATGCATTTTAATAGGATCATAATAATATGCGCGTGGAAATGTTGAAAAATAAATTGTGTATCCGCTCTCTTGATTTGATATAAGTCGAAATTCAGTTCTAATTAAAAAAAAATTGCATCACTTAAATAACACACTTTTAACGGTTTTAAGCGGAAATATATCAGTTTTTAGTTTTGCGTGCTTTGAAGTAGCTGTGATGATTGCTGGAAAGCAACCGAGTTCAATTATGTTAACTAATTTGTTCCTCATTTTACCCTGTTGAAAGTGTTGTTAAAATATATACTATTCACGGAAATTGTAGATTTCTTTACTTATTTCTAATATTTTAAAAAAAATATTAATACGATAAATTTAAATGCAACTCCGCCCAATTTATACCATATTTTAGTATAATATGCCTCGATTGTATTTGTTTTTTCCTGTCTTTTGTGCAATAAAGTGTTTATAAATAAATGTGTCCGTTAATGTTAAAGATAAATTTTACGCTTTAGTTCAATGCGATATTACGTTTATATATTGTTGTCTTTAATATGTTTTCAGTGTATCGCTTCACAACCTGTGGAGCCACAGGGCGTCTTGGTCCAAATCAAACTTTATGTGATACTGCATATAAAAACACATCTGTATCTGTAACCGTGGTGCATTCACCACCATACAACGGGATTCAAGTGTGGGAAGTACCGAACGAGGGATTGTATACGTAAGTACCTAATTAATTAATGTTATTTACACAAATAGTTAAGGCCCTAAGTTAGAGCCTTGAGGCATGCTTCTGTTTAAATGTAATTTAAAATTAAACACATTTGAAATTGAGTAAAAAACTTTTAAAACTTTTCAAATAGTAAAGTTTTCATGCTTTTTTGTTAGAATAGTGAATTAAATGATTTTATTATTTAGATTTTTTGGCAAACTCCTAAGAGAACGCTGAACTAAGCATGTTTATAGTTTACGCGAGTACCAAACAATATTAACGGTTTTGAACCCGATTTATTAATTGACTTATGTTATTTAGGATTATAGCTACAGGAGCCAGCGGGGGTTTAGGGTCAATGTGGGCCGGAGTGTCCCACGGCGCTCAGGCAAGGGGACTGTTTGAGTTGCATCGTTCTGAAAAGATATACATGCTTATTGGGCAGCAGGGCCTAAATGCTTGCAAAAAGGTTGGTTGAACATTTATGTATTTTTCCTGTTTTAGCTATATACCCTTAATTTAAATGTGATTACGACTAGAGTACAGTAGAAAAATTGACTTGAAAAGACAAAGTTTTATGAGTCAATAAAAATTTTATGTGTGCGTTTCAATTTGCCAAGAATTTGAGCACGTTTTGAACATGTTAATTTCAAAATACCTCATTTTAATTTTTCTAGACATTATCGGCACAAGAGAGCCAAGAATGTTCTCGGCGAGACACAAACGACACCTACCAAGTTTTCACAAGCAAAACCCACGAAGTGCGGAACACACACGTTAATGACGGCGGTGGTGGTGGAGGCGGCGCCACCTATGTTTTTTTGGTAATTCTTACAAGATTCTTTAAATTACTTAATATCTTCTACTATTAACGATATCTAAATGTTAATTTGTCTATACAGCTAGGTAAAAATGGACGCCCCATCCCTCTACTAGTTGGCGGAGGCGGTGGTGGGATATCTGTGGGGGTGTTCAGAGATGACAATTCCCAGCACGCCAGGGGCAGGACTAACGCTACACCAGAATCTGGTTACATGTATGGAACACCTGGAAGAACTTCCGGTATGAGTGTCTTGAGTTTACGCAAGTAGTACAGATTTAAATAAAACACTTAAACGCGATATACATTAAACTTAAATACTGTCTATAGTTTACGCGAGTAGTACACATTTAAATAAAACACTTTAACGGTTTAAAACGCGATATATTCGGGCCGAAGTTAAAAATCACTTTCAAATAAGTTTAACTAGTATATCGCGTTTTAAACCGTTAAAGTGTTTTATTTAAATACATTAAACTTATTTGGAGATTATTAAAATAACCTCCAAATAAGTTTCGAATGCTTAGCGGTCGTACGACGGAACAGATGTCGTTAGCGGATTAGTTTTTATTTTTGCACCTTCATCTTTAGTCTCCCTTTGACCACGGCTGCTGCAAAGCCTCCGAAACGTCGGGACGTAGACGGGACCTTAATACGCAAGTGTTAAGGTTGAAATTACATTGCGCGATAGGTGCATGTATCAATTAGATAAAAAAAAAATTCGACGATGAGGTGTAGGACTCGGTAGCTCAATTGGTAGAGCAACAGCATGGAACGCTGACGATGCCGGTTCAAGTCATGCCCGAGTCGAAAATTTTTTCAATTTATTTTCGATTTTTAAATTATACGTTGGGACGTAGTTAAAAATAATAAGTTAACAAGTTTAACCAATACAATTCGCGTTTTTAACCGTTAAAATGTTTAATTTTAATTTTCCGGTAACATAATAAAAGACGGTAAGTAAAAATACTTTATACCTTTTATTGTGGTCAAATTTTTATCTAATCCATGTTATTATTATATTTAGGAGCAGGTGGAGGTTGGCTTAGCCGTCGTGGGCCGATAACCCCCGGCTTTGAGTTGGTGCGTGGGTCTGCACTGCAAGAAGGGGGCATCGGAGGCCTGGCTTGTAATGGCGGAGCTCATGGGGGATTTGGAGGAGGCGGTGGGGGGTGTTTGCGCGGTGGAGGTGGTGGCGGATGGGCTGGTAAATTTTAACGATTCTTGATGTTAAACTCTAGAATGCTACGGTTATTTGTTTGTTTGTTAAATTATAATTATTTTCCCTTGCAGACAAAGGTTATAGTTATATTGTAATAAAGATATAATTGATTGACCGTCAACAATTGTCTCTAGGTGGCAGCACTCACGATGGCGTGGGTAAACATGGTGAAGGTGGCTGGTCATATATAGATAATACTAGAGCTATCAAAGAGTACAGCTCCGCTGGAGTAGCTTTGAGGACTGGACCTGGGGAGGTTCTTATAATTCCTGCCATACATGTAAGGAGAGTTCTCATTTTCCAAGTTAAAATAACGTACTGTGTATAATAAAGCTTATCTGAACTTGAATCTAACTTAAAATCGGTGTTTTTGAAATATTGATACTTGTATTTATATATTTATACATATGACTTAAAGAAACACATCAATACACAAAATAAGAACAAAACATCAATATTATAACAAAAGTATTTATTTAAATTTAAGTTAAAACTTCACTAAAAATGTCAGCAATGAAGATGGAAGTTATAAACAATAGAAATGCTTATTATTGATAGAGACGAAAACTTATTTAATAATTGGGCTGCGAACTCACAACTTCGTCGTCGTTGGTTCGATTTCCACCGGGCCCAACATTTTTCTAATAAATTTCTACTCCTCCTCCTACTCTTCAGAAACTTTTTGGATTCCCTTCTAGAATTCCGATGATTTTGGGATAAATAAATATCTTTTATCGCCAGGCATGCGGCTGTAACTACCGCTGCGTCGCAATGAATGAATACAGGAGTGATGTCAAGTGTTATTGTCCCGCTTCTTGGTCTACTGACGTCAATGACGCTACTAAATGTATATGTAAGTATCTAATCATCATCTTCTATGTGCCTATCTACCCTTCCCCTAGAAATACTAGTCATAGTGACAGTTGAGAATACCATAAATCAAATAATTAGACTCTACCCAGACGTATATTTTTGGTAACATACTTAAGTATACAACTCTCTTATTATATCATCCTCTATAATTATATTATCTTCTTTAACTCCACAGTTGGGAACTATGTAAATAAAGATGATAATAATAAGTAGATTACTTAAAATTGTAATGTTACAAAAACACAAAAATTTGCTCCTAAATACTTATAACTTTATTACAGTGGAGGAAGCCTGGTCCCAAGGCTGGTGGATTCTCATCATAGTCCTTTGCGTGATCGGATTTGTCTGTATGGTGACTGTGCCGTGTGTTTGTTTGCATTTGTGTAAGTATATTAAGTACAGTGTTCCTTCGCTTTTAGTCAATATTGATATGCAGCTATATTTCCAAGAACTGAATTCAGAGATTGGTAATTATATAAATACAAATCCACAGACAACAAATACCAGCGCAAAAAGGAAGCTGAACTGCATCAGAAAAGACTTCTAGAACAAGTAAAGTATTTTTCATACAATTATCTCAAAAGTCTTTCTTTACTTATGTCTTAGTAGACTGTTAAATTCGTTGATTTTATTGTTTTTGTTTGTGGTTGTTTTGACTCTTGTTTTTTTTTATAGGAAGTTCAGTTGCATAGACTCCGAACAGCACCTGGTGGTAGCGAGAATGCTCTAGGCATGGCCTTCAACCCTCACTATGGAAGCGAAAGCTTCTTCCCTATGGGAATTGACGTTAAGGGTCTCCCGCAAGTGGCGAGAGAAAAATTGAAGCTAATCAAGTGAGTTACAAAATTCTAAATACTTGCCTTCCTAAAATTTTGTAACTTAATTAGTAAATAATGTCTGGATGATACTGTTATTTTTAGAAGTATAGATAGAAATAAATAAATATATTTAAAAAAACATATAAAACTTATTACTATATAGTATAAAAAATGGTGTGTGGTTGGTAGAATAGAATCTTACTCCATTCCATCTACATAAATATTTTTGGACACAGGGCGCTTGGTCAAGGGGCCTTTGGTGAAGTGTACCAAGGTCTCTACAAGCATCAGCCAGGAGATACAGTAGAAATGCCGGTCGCTGTTAAAACTCTTCCTGAACTCTCTACCGGTCAAGCAGAATCGGATTTCCTGATGGAAGCTGCTATTATGGCTAAATTCAATCACCCAAATATTGTACACATTATTGGTGTTTGCTTTGATCGACATCCACGGTAAGCTTTAAAAGTTTTGAAACTTATTTATCTTGGTAAAAATTGTAACTGTTGGTAACTGCCCAAAACCGGGAACCGGGGAACTTTGGAGGCCTACACCCGAAGGGGTTCCTAATGACCTAATATTTTCAACAATAATCTTTAATAATGTTGTACATAAATAATACCAGCTCGTTGAATCTAGAATTAATGATGTACATAGCAATCATTTAAGGGAAATAAAGGCATTTTTATTATTTATAAATTGTTAATAAAACATTGTTTTCTAGGTTTATTGTCTTAGAACTACTCGGTGGAGGTGATCTAAAGCAATTTCTCAGAGACAATCGTCCCAAACCAGACCGCGCAAGCGCATTAACTATGAAAGATCTCATTCTTTGCTCTCTTGATATATGTAAGGGTTGCAAGTATTTGGAGTCACAGAGGTTTATACATCGGTAAGTTTTTGAAACCATGTATTCTTGTATACAGTGTTATAATTAACCCAGAGCCTCTAAGATTCAATATTTTTATTATGATAGAGAAATAACATGTAATCAAGATGCGATGCCTATTTTGGAATTGGTTATTTAGACAGACTAAAACTGAAACGCATAAATTGATTAGAAGCATGTATAACCCGATAGAGGTCAAATCTAACCAGTCAAACATAGCATAGTTAACTTACATTTCATTGTTACAGGGACATAGCAGCTCGTAATTGCCTACTAACATCTCGAGGTCCCGGACGCGTCTGTAAAATCGCTGACTTCGGAATGGCCCGAGATATCTACCGTGCAGATTACTATAGAAAAGGGGGCAAAGCCATGCTCCCGATTAAGTGGATGCCACCAGAAGCCTATATTGATGGGGTTTTCACCGCTAAAACTGATATTTGGTAAGCGCTGTTCAAATATAAAACTATGAATCCAAAGGTCAATTATATTGTTTAGTTAATTCATCGATATTATTATCCTTAGGTCATTTGGAGTTCTCTTGTGGGAGGTGTTTTCACTCGGTGTAATGCCGTATACAGGCTGTTCAAATCGTGAGGTGATGCAGCTCGTATCTGGCGGTGGACGACTGGACAAACCGTATGGTAAGTTAATAAATATGAAAGTGATGATTCTTCAAGAGTAAGCCTTTTAGGATATCCACTTCTGTCTGTCTCGAGATGTACTGGCAGTTTATATTTTTTTGTGAATTTGATCTTTAATTTATATCTATTTATCAGGTTGCCCACCAGATGTATACCGGCTCATGTGTGAATGTTGGAACCCCAATCCGGAAGAACGACCATCATTTGCACAGATGTATGAGCGTTTACAGAGGTTCCTGCAGGTAAATGATTTTTCGTTGTGAGGGAGTCCATATCCTTTTAAATACACACCGACGTTTCGGATGCTTAGCAAGCCATAGCAGCCATGGTCAAGATAATTTTTAAATAAGTTTAACTAATATACTTTGCGTTTACCGTTAAAGTGTTTTAGTTAAACTGCAGAAAGTATTTAAAACGTCCGTGTCTTTTGGGCAGTAGGCAACTGATTAGGGTCACTAAAATTAACTTATACTTTTTAAGTAATTAAATTATTATTGTGTTTTTTAGAGTATATTTATAAGGTGTTTTATATTTAGGACCCAGAAATAACAAACGCACCACTTCCCATGATGAGGTCTCTCATACCCATGCACAGCGATCGCTATTTTGACGAACTCAACGGAATAACGGTACGCATCTTAAAACCTTACCACCTTGTAAAAATAACTGAACTGTACGACTTCGTATACGATCAAGAATAAACTAGAATCTTTAAGTAAGTGGCCATTTTTCGTGAGCTTTACGAAGCCAATTGACCCAAAATTCAGATTGTTTTACAAGTTACTTAATTTGTATTATTAATTCCTTTAAATATCTAATTATTCATTAACATTTATCGAGTAGGAAGCACATTAATTTCATATATTCCATAAATAAAACATAATATTAAATCTACTAATATTATAACGGTGTTTATTTTCTTTTAAAATGTTTTCGCTCTGGCTACTAGAAGCAAGTAAATTTGTTTGATTTGGTTTATTTTAATGAATTTTCGATGTTAGTCCCCGTGCCGCATGACATTTGGCTGATGACTTTTATTTTCATGACTTTTCGCCCTACCCTCTGTACAACGCGTAGATCTAGCAACCCTGTAGACAGAGATACATTGAAAAGTTTTGCATGGATTTAGTAATTAAACGCTCCTTTCGATTTTAACACAAACTTATGTGTTTCAACGTATCTCTCTTTAACCGGATATCAAAATTGTTTACTTGCCTAGTAGCTATAGCGAGAAACTACCTTCTTTGATTCCTGTAATATCGAGCCTTATAAATCCATTTGTGTCTATTAATCTATGTTACATACAATATTTAAATTGATAAAAACACGAAAACCTTTATAAGGCTCTATATCTTTCTAATGCACGATTAGCCAAACGTGAAGGTGCGGAGAGGTTATATAATCAATGGTCTAAATCTTTTACCAATGTTTACTGCTAAATAGGTCGCCCACGCATCTTTATTTGATGAAACATTTTTACGTTCTATCAAAACAGCGTCATGCCATATTAGCATCTGTCCTTTCATTAGAATACCTAAGGGTGATAAATTTGAGGGAGATACTTTTTATCATGTTCACATATCTCTAGAAATAAAAAGCAATAGTAGGCCATTGATTATAAACCCAACCTCACTGTATACTTCACTGAACGCTGTGTTGACAGCGCTCGTCAGCGTGTGACTACCTCGTTCCGCTGTCACCCCAGGAGCAGACTCCAGATGATAGGTAACAATCATGATTTGAGCACTGATATCCATATTTTTAGCATAGCTAAAGTTCTAAATCTAATTCAATTTATCCACATTACTTTTGGATTGTAGTCAAGATAATTTTCGTTTAAGTTTATCAAGACGAAACACTATTTATTAAATATCAAACTTAAATCAATTTGTTGCAATTGAGTATAGGTTTCATTTAAGGTGTTGCTCAGGGAGCACTCTATACTCCACTTTATTATATAAAGTATATTTATGAATAAAGACTAGAGTGGATATTATATTTATCAAATAATTAATATGGTTATCATTGCTGTATAAGATAATCTTTTAATGCGTATTTTTTTTCATATAATATTTAAAGATTAATTTTGGCACACCCCTTTCAGTATTGATGTTGTCGAGGTGAAAGTAGGAACAGTTGGGTTATCTTTGTGTGTTCAGAACAAAAACAATGTCATCAAGTATTCAACAAAGATAACTCAGCAGAACGCCTTAAACCCTAAATTATCCCAAATATTGTATAAAGTCATGAAAATTTTCGTTCACCATAAATTACAATTTTTTATCTGATCTATTTGTGATAAAATGTTTGGGCGAACTTAGTGCTAAATTGCTCCACTGACAGAGCGAGAAAGGCATGCCTAGAGCCCCGTTCAGCCATTAAATTAACAATTTAAAATGATCACCAACTAATACAGCGGATTTAATGTTAGCATTTGAAAGAGTATGTGCGTTTTGAACGTCCAATAATTCAAAAGGTGTATAGGATTACATAAAGTTGCAATTTTTATTTAGAACTAAATTGTATATTAGGGAAATAGAACAGTAAGTAATATGTTACAGCTCAACGGATCCGTTGGTGCCTCATAGCAATGCGCCAACGGCGACATCAGACAGCCCCGAAACGGAGGCTTCACCATATCCACCTCTACTGAAAGGTTTGTTACTAACTGAATCATTGAAATTCATTTTAAACTATCCAACTGCAAAGCACGGGTTTGCTTTCTCAAAGGAGACCAAATAAGTAATTATAGCCAGTGTCAAAATGCATGGAATATCGTGTTTTACGAGGCACGGAAAAGACAACACCTACTGCTAACTTTGAGCTAATATTTGATGTTTTCAGCATCACAAGAATATGGCAACATTCCAATGGCGTCCAAGACCGCCGGGAGCACAAAATGCGAGGGTTATACTGTTTCCGGCGCAGAGAGTCGGACCAGCACAAAGTTTCTGCCGTCTAATTCCACAGACAGGTATTTCCATCTACCTTTGAAGTCTTGAAGATTGTATCCTAAGCCCGAACGTTATAACTTTAACGGCTTAATTATATTTCACAGGTTATTAAGTTCAGTAGAAGTGGATTCGTTAGAAGGAGATTCGGAGATAGAGACAGATGTAAAGCCGGCCATCTGGGAGACATCTTTCATTGAGACTAATAAGCACGCTATCGAGCACAAACCGAACTCAGATAACGGACCCATAGTAAGTTTTGTTTTAGTGAATCTATGTTTTCGCTGATAATTCTAGGCTTTTTTTATTTCATTTGCTTAACACTAACAAATATTACAGATTGAGAAGCTCATTAGCATCACCCCGACTTCACCAAAGCCCCCAGAAAACGTACTGTCTGCCAGTATAGAAGGCAAGACTCTAGATAAGAATAAAATAAAGCCAGACAAAAGCAATACTGCTCCTGAAAAAGCCAAACTGGTCGCTGATAAGAATAAAGTAAATACTGATGGAGGTTTATTGGTTGGAGAGAAAAGTATAATAGGGCCTGAAAAACATTTAATAATGCCGGATAGGAACAAAAACACGCTCGGCATTGAAAACAAAACAGCGCCAATAGCTTCTCCAGACCCACCACGCATTAACGCGTGGGGTAAAGACCTTCCTAAACAATTACCAAAGCCTAAACCTCTGTGTCTAGACGCGGCTCAGTTAGAACAAAACCTAAACGCCTTAAAGAAAAATAGTGGTTCAGTAAACTTAACAACTATGAATATAGTGCCTCCATACATAAATGTGGTCACACCGAAGAAATTAGCGGAATCAAAAACTATACAGATCGACCCTAAGAAAGCTGTAATCCACGACCTCCAACCAGTAACCGAAAACGAGGATAAGAACAAATTGAAACAGTCAAGTTCAGCTGCGAGTTTATTAAATGGTCCTCTCACCGATGTCCCATACGCTGATAGCGATAATACGTCGTCCAGTTCGGGTAGTATGGCGGGAAATTCCCGGAATAAAAGCTATCCAGATATTAACGCGGTGAACGGTAAGAGCAAAGTTAAGAAACAGGGTAGCGACGGTGATAAAGGCACCGATGTGGAGATTAGCTGCTAAATTCCAAGATGGCCTCTTTCCAGCTGTCAACGTCGACGTCGAGGTGTCGCCGTTCCACGGACGGATATTTGTTGTAAATATGGATGTTTAATAAGTGCGTTCTCATTTCGATGAATATATTTTTGTTAGACGTTGTACAAACTTATTTTTTAAATGTATAATTTAAGGCTTCCCGATGCTTATAGAATATAAAATAGTTTTATGCCCAATTGCTCAATGTTTTGCGCGAGAACAATAATATTTTGTACGTTCTTTTCTTACTGTTTTGTAACGAATTGCTTGTAGCATTTTTATGAGTTAGCGTCGATAGGTGATAATATATGTGAACTTTGATGTTATATCGATATCAGTAACGTAATGCGCACATCGCAAAATATTGTATTAGATTAGTAATTCAAAACATCACAGTATTGTTTCTATCGGAAATGAACGCTTTGAGAACTTTTCACAACACTAGTTTGGTGACCAAATAATAAAATTTGTAAGAAGTAATTGTCTTTATGTTGAACTCGATTATTTTCGCGAAGTTTTTAATACAACGAAAAGTTCTCAAATCTAGTCACTGTCACCTAGGAAAGTAAGAATCTAGCGCTTAAAGTGAATTGTATATAAACGTTGTAGTTCATGTAAATCCGCCCTAAAATATTCGATGAAATAGGCAATTGTCGAGTAGATTTAATGTAGTTAATAAATGCATGTGTATAAAGATATATGCGGGTACTTTTAATCTTCGAATTCTATTGCTGTCTCTTTCTACGAAAATATCATTCATACTCATAACATAGAGAATATTACGATCCTATATATTACATTTCTAGATACTCTATATAGAAAGAGATGACAATATCTTATAATTTCCTTGAGGATTTGCAAACTACCCGCCTGACCGAAAATTTTGAGTCAAAGAATATAATATACATAATATTTATTGATATATGTATTGAAGTATGTGTTTAATCACAATTGGATGCTTTAATTAAAATTTAAGGTAGAATAATAAGAATTAAAATGTATTATTTTGTTTCGTTCTCAGTAGTGCCAAAGTTACTTGCCTCCGAGCATTTATTTTCCTTTTTGAGGCATGAGACGACAGGGTATAGCGTTATTTTGGGGTGTTTCCAAAAATCAAATTTTAATATTAAAATATATTTATTTCTAATTTATTAGGTCACATTGTGAAGTTGAAGTTTGTTGTTCGGTTCCTAATGTTAAACGGTTCCTAAGTACGATCCTATTTCGGTTTCAGTGTTTATTGCGTTTAAATTAACGGTTGCATATTGAAAGTTTAATTATAGGGAAGTGCAACATGTATTGACAGAAAATAATTATGGTGTTAATTAAGCGCAGTACATAAACTGTGCAATATTTAAAAACACTGTACTGTCAGTAGGATTTCGAATATTCTTGCGTTCCGCTCTTCTGATCCAATAGCGTAGGGGGAATGTATAAAAAAAAATGGCTCATGGTTCCTCACTACACTAAACAAATACTTTATTTTCGATCAGGAGTGCAGAGATAAAATGTTCATCTACTGATAGGACACAATACTGAATAACGTTTTATCGTCACTTTTGTTTTGCTCAATATAGAGTTTGAATTTCCAAATATTATATTGAAGTTATATTTGTCTTATATTATTGCGTACAAAGGTTGTGATTAAATCGTAGTGGACCGTCTACCGCTTGAACACGAGTTCCTTTTATTGAGTGACTTTGAAATGTTATTCGGATTAAAAAACCTAAGCATTCAATAACAGTCGCCGCTTTGTATAAAATATTATAACGAAAGCATTCTAATATTATTTTTATACAATTACGTAAATTAAAAACCATATTCTTAAGTAACGATACGTCGAATTTAATTGTAAGATTAAGTTGTATCCTTCAGTACGGTTTGATCTCGTTTTAAAAGTTTGAAACTATCTTTTGTTTGGCGATGTAAATGATCTATGTTGAAAAGGGGAAGTGCTTCTTTACTTTATGGGACATTTTAAATGGATCTTACTAATATCATGATTTCTTTGAAGGTATTCGTTTTGATAAATATGTGAACAAACACAAACTATAAAAAGTTTCACGAAAACTTTGAAAATGTTAACAGATTTAAATAAAAGACTTTAACGGTTTAAAACGCGATATATTAGTTAAACTTATTTAAAAATGATTTTTTTTGTCGGCCCGACGTGACCACGACTGTTGCAAAGCAGCCGTGGTCAACGTCGGGCCGCAAGTTAAAAATCATTTTCAAATAAGTTTAACTAATATATCGCGTTTTAAACCGTTAAAGTCTTTTATTTAAAATTTGTACTACTCGCGTAAACTAGACAGTATTTAATGTTAACAGATGTTATTTTCAGGTTGAAGAGTTTAACCAATTTTTTAATGAATTAAGATGGATAGTGTCTATTGTGCAGAGAATATACGGTACATTTTATATTGAGTTCAAACTTAATAAATCTTTGTTAATTAAAATTCATTTTTTTTTCGTTTTAAAGTCAATTGTAAACTAATTGGGCATTTCCAACCGATTTTTAGTTTTTTTGTAAAACCGTTTTGAGTAAAGGGCCGCCCTACATGATGTTCTTGGCTTAGCAGGTATTTTTTGTATATCCATATATAACAAAAGATGAAACACAAAAAACAGTATATTTTACATACTGCCGTCACTTTAGTAACTTACTTAAACAGTAATGAAAACCATAAAATAACAGTTTGTCTTCTAAAATTGCTTTTAACATTTCTGTGGTAGGCCCTTTACTCTTTTATAAAAGTGGTGAAGTACAACGAAATTAATTTGCAATTTACTTTCAAAATATCAAATTGTAAACTTGTTAGGTATAAATTATAATAATTATAGAGATGAATAAATTATAAAGTTCATAAAATATTATGAGCGAGATGTATTGGTTATCGCAAATAAATTAATGTATATATTGTTGTTTTATTTATATTTCTAGTACCCTCAATAGATGGCGGCAGGCCTTGGGTTTCCCTTTTTTCGACGTCCAAGTCTTTCTCAATTAAGATTAAATTGAAGATGAATTAATACAGTAAAGAAAAATATTTGTACGACATATGAAGCTGCTAGAGACACAGTGGCCTAATAACGAATAAAAAAGATTTTCAATTGAGAGGAAAATAAAAATGCGCAATTAACTTAGGCGAAAATGAATTTTTCCCTACTAGTATTTCTGCCAGAACAATGTTAACAATTTACGGACACTGCTTTTCTACATTAACATTTTTATACTATGAAAGAATATAATATCTCAAGTCATACAATTATTAGTTGGGCTACTCTTCCTCTAGCGGCGTAGTTTATCTGTTGAATTTCGTAAAAACCATAATGATTCAATACTACATGTTGCATTATTATTGTTACTACTTTTATCATACTTATGAGATATAGAAAAACTTTGCTTTAGAGACTTAAAATAAAAATCTAACTTGTTGAATATAAAAGTTTTGTATTTTTTAAGGTCTTCATCTATTTCCTTATATCATTGTCCATCTACCCTTTGATAGTTCCCACAGCTGAAACCCCAGCCCCACTAAGCTAACCCTAATACGAACGAAATCGAATACAACAGGGTCAAATGACAAAACAAAGAGCAAATTTTTGAATACTTTTTATTTCCCACTGAAACAATTATGAAATTCTTAACATTCATACAATACAAAAATTCTACGCTTACAGCGAATACCACACTATAAGGGGCTTACAAACAATTTTGCTGACGTTACCCATGTATACATCATACGATATGCCACTTGTTAAATGGTACAATTCCGTAGCGAACAACTATGCGAAAAACTGATTGGCAATTTAACAAAAATAGCATAAAACGAATATTGAAACTGTATAATAAATATATTTAGAAGACAGATTTTACATTAAAGTATGTACGACTTAAAGACGTATCTGTTAGTTTAAACTAAAAATCTACTTTAAAAAAACTAAAACGGGTTTTAGATGCGAGTATAGGGTAGAAAGAAGGGTAAACTAGGAATAGGTGGGGTAACTAATTAAATCATTAATAACCTCTAAACAATGAATGTTTTTATCGAGATATCATCATGCAATTTGAGTATTTTCAATTTATAAACCACACATAGTCATCGAAAGTTTTACAAAAAATTCTATTTTTTTTTCCATAAAACAAAAAAAAAATGCTCACAATCAACAAAATAATAACGGTTTAAAATGCAAAATATTGACGAATATTTTTTCTACGCCTTGACGTTTAAAACTCAATCAACTGATGTATTTTACGTTATAAACCGTTTAGTGTATTGAATGTGTACTCGTAAACTACAGATTTAAGTTCATTTTTTAGCAGGGTGTAGAAAAATATGTAAAATAAAAAAATAATTTGATTCTTAGATAAGCGTAGTTTTTAAACTCATAATAGTAAGGAAAATATAGAATATAATTTTCAATATGATTACAGAAAATTTTCTATTCCCGTATATAATAATAGATTGGACAATTTCAACGCCGCGTATAAATTTAAAAACTTAAATACATGAAGCCTAAAATACCTAGTACCTACTAACTTATTAACTTTATCAGTAGAAAAAAAAACTAATTCTACAATTTTAAAGCCCTAATAACGTAAATGTGATGTGTAATTATTGCACTACCAAATAATATATTTACAATCGATGTTTGTGTGAGCAAGTACACTCGCTATACAGAACTATATAAAACATAAATAAGACTAGTTTATAATTTTGATGCCGAGCCTATGCCAGCGAGTGTACCGGTATTGTAAAGCAACATATTAAATTATAAACATCACTACGAAATTCGATATAAAAAGTAAAATAAAATACAAAACGTGTAACGTGCATGTATATTTTGTATATTTGTGCGAGAGAAAAAAAATTGCAGCTTCCCCAAAAACAGCGATAGTGGCGCCATCGATGCCGTTTGTTTTTTTTTGCATCTAATTACAACAAGGTGTCCGATAGGAAACCAGATAGCCTTAATGCAAACATTGATCGAAAGCCTATTGATATTTCCTCATCAAGCTTTGAAGTATTAAATATTAGAAAAATCGCAGCACAATTTTTTATTATGTTGAGTATCCAAGTTTATCCATCAAAGCTAAAAGTGACGCATAGCCTAACATAATAAATACTATCACATTGACATCTTGTCGAATTAAACCCGATTTCATCAAGATAACATCGATTAACCGTCCGTTAACTTATGATATTAAATTTGACGGTGTTTACTTTTTAATCGATGTAAACATTTGGTGTGAAATTGGGCCTTAGAAATCGTTATCGCTCGAAGCATCGTAAGACTCGTTTATTTGACCCGGCGTAGGCTGGTAACGGAGGTTCGGCGACAAAACCGGCCCGTGGAAGGACTGCGAGCGTAAGACGTTGCTGAAGAGAAAAATAAACAATCAATAGACACAAAAAAACCTTTAAGCTCTTATCAGAACTTAGAGGATTCTGGGTGAGCTTTGAATAAATTTCCTGGAATTTATTGCATAGACATTTTTGATAAAATTCGTTTGAAAAATAAATATATTGGATATAAAATTTAATTAAGAAATACTATATACAAATTGAATTAAACTATCATAAAAATGTAATAGAACATAAAATAATGAAAATGAGCCAATACCGACCATGAGTGCATAGCTTGAAGAAATGTTAGTTTGAAACCCATAGTACAATCTATCCATACATATATAATAGTGTATGCAACAGTTAGTAAGCAATATATTTAAAAAAGTACATAGATGAGAAGCCAATGATACTATTTTAACTATGATATTAGAATCTTATTATTTACAGGTGATCTAGAAATCTAATTATTTCTTAGATCTCGTTCCAACACACGAGCGTTATTTGCAAACAGGTAAAAGCATGTGCTTAAAATGAAATCGCCCCAACAACGCCGAACGGACATTTTAACTAACCTCTGCTAAACAAGATGGCCGCCGTTACACTTTAGCCAGATTTTCATGCATATCGGAAACTGTCACGCTCTAGAATTTTTAAACATCAAATTGCTTTTAAAACATATAAGAAAATAATTTTGGGGTTTGATTATCAAAACGGGACCTTTAGGTCCCATACAATAAACACGCCTCGCAGTTGTAGTTATCTTAAATGTTTGGTTGTATTTTTTATGCAATATAGGCAATATATTTGAGAAATGTGCAAGTAAATAAATCGCGAGTCACATTTGGCGAATATTTATATCTCTGCAGGATCAACTAGGACCTTTTTAATTTCCCATGAAAAAGTAAGTATAATTAGTCACAGAAAAATTACGAGACCATAGACTGTAAAAATCGTTACGTTTGTATTTAAAACCCTCAGTTGTCAACAAAAATGTATATTACCGTTACCTTGCAGTTTTGGGCGGGGTTTTACTCGACTTGCCGAGTGCCGCCGCTTTCCTCGGATCATACGACGCCCTTCGTTTCCACTTCTCCAATTCTTGCTTCTTTTGTTCTGAAAAAGCAAAATTAAAAACATAACGATTATACAATATGAGGGTAGTGCATTACTTTTAGATGGTGTTTCATTTACGTTTTATTTATTTATTTAATAAGGTTTTACTACTAGATACTTTGTGTACCATGTTTTAAACTTCTTTAGCTAATTTCAATAAAACACTTTGACGGTTTGAACGCGTGAAAATATATTAGTGAGTCCTATTTGAAAATTATTTTAACCACGTCTCGCCGCGACCATGACTGCTGCAAATTAAAGATCTCTTTAATGGTGTCTTGCTTTCACTTACCCATTTCATATTGCTGAGCACTCCCCTTGCTTACTGCCTTTTCATTACTATTTAGCACCCCGACGTACGTCTTGCTCGGGTCTCGGCGGAGGAAGTTTTTGGGCGAGTTCTCAGACTTGTACTTCGATATGTCCAGGTAACGGGGTTGGATCTCTTTTGCTTTCTTGTGGCTAACTGAGGTTGTCGACGACGACATAGAGTAGTCACCACTGTACCTATAGCGTTATAGTAAGAATTATTATTTACTTGGCATTTCAAACGCTTTCAAACGCAGCGATCTAGAGTGAGACTATTTTTATTCATTCAACATGAAATATTGGTTTTTACTAAGTATGAGTATGAAGTTATTTTTATTTGTTTAATATATAATCCAGTGTCTCAGAAAATTACGATTTCAGTGTAATTGTGTTTACAAAAATTGTCAAGTTAGAAAAAATACACTATGCAAATATAGAGTAAAGTAGCCCAACAACACAGCTTTAGATTATCACCTTACTAATCCCCCCCCCTTTAACCTACCAATCTTATCAAATTATTGATGAATATTTTTAAAGGCTAAAGGGATGTTTTCGCAAAGAACAACAACTATATCTCTATCTCAAACTCTACCTCTGTTTCGGTTGTATTTGCGTCCTGTTCTGTCTCATGACAACCGGGGCGCTCTCCGTCCCGCTCTCTCCCTCGGTGTCAGTGTATGAATTTTTTTCGTGACTGAAGATGGAACTATTTCTTGGACTGCTTCCATTTGTTGTAGAGTTGGTGTCACTATCAAGAATGAAGGTTTTGCGTTTGTCTATGGTCCCTCGTGCCGTGTCCTTTGTGCTTTTGTGTTTGTCGTGACGTCTCTGTTTCTCGGGCTGGTGTACCTGGAAATGCAATGACAATAGTTATAACATATTTTTTGTATCGCACCACAGGTCTCTATTTCTCATAGAAGTTCATCTTATACCCACCAAGCTATTACATTTACAGAAGTATCAAGTACGACTAATATCAATAAAAAATAAGTTCAAAAAAGTAAAAAAAATTAGATTGTTTCAAAAGACGTATTATTGTTTAAAATACTTTTTTAAAGAGAGGGCTAGTCTGGCAGTGATAGGAATTGCTCCTTAGGTCATTAAATTCACAAAAATGTAGGTAAGTGTAAGGTGTTTGTAAGACATGTTGAAAAAAGCCAGACTGAGTTTCTTCTCGGTTATGTTGTCTTACACACTGTAGAAATCACGAAGAACGGACAGACAAACATATTATTTAATATTTTTTTGACGAATCTAAATAATTCTTATAATTTTACAGAGAATGAAGAATTTTATTTTATTTTGTCTCAAATCATTCAACCGTGGATTATTGCATAAATTACTAGACTTTATAGAACAAAGATTTCTATTGAAAAGATCAGGAGTTACATGCGGCATCTACGTCGCTATGTTAGTTAGTTAATCTACTCCAATAAAATGACTTTGTTACGAAAGTACCAACTTTAAATGTATCTTTACCCGTTAAGCTAATGAACTGATAAAACCGACGCACATAAGTGTCCCAACAATTTCTATGTGAATTGGTATGATTCCAGGCGTTACCAATAGGCATTGTAAATAATTATCCTCGTCCAATGTTATATCTGTGTGGGACGTTGTAATAACACCTAGAAGAGAGCACTGACTTTGAATGTTACAAATCTACCTATATAACGTGCACTGTGGACCTGTTAAAGAAAATAATAAAAAGAAACACATTAAAATTACATCGATATTCTTTTGAATTTTTAAGCAAGGATTTATAAATTATATCTAACATACCTTAAAATTGGTGACGTAATTCCTTGCGATAACCACGTCATTGGTCAACGGTTGTCGTTTTCTGACGTCGAGAATGTCGGAGTGGGTCGAAGTAATCATGGGATCTATGGGCAATGTGGGCTGGTCGTCCTCTGTGCCTTCCGAGGAGTAATCCAGGGTAAGATCCGCTATGTTGGTGGTGTGGAATGATTGAGAGCGGTGTACTGGTGATGAGTGACTGAAAAGAATGGTTAGATTTGTTTATTTTTTTTAAATTTAATTAATTATAAACACCATAGTTTACACATATAAAAATTTATGAACTAGCTTAAAAATAATGGGCACCTTATCACTAAACAGCGATCTCTTCCAGGCCACCAAATGTAAAGGGGAAACAATGAAAAGAAGGCAATTAAGAACTGGAAAAATTAAATTTGAAAACAGTTGAATGTTTAAAACGCAAAATATTTTAATTAATTTATTTAGTCAAAGGCACGGAGACTTTGAAACAACCATGGTCACGAGGGGGAATGGAGGTGGTCTCTAATTAAAGGTGAAGGTACTCTAAGTTCATAATAAAGCCTCAAATGTATATCTATCGTCGAATTTGACAAACTCAACATCTACATCTATGTTATATATACCTATACAATTATTTTTTTACTAATTAAATTGCGCGTTTTAAACCGTTAACGCGGTGTATGAAGTGTGTACGACTCGTGTAACCAACAAAAGATGTATAATGTATGTGACGACAAAAAAATGCTAATATTTAAATGTGCTAAAGATATTTGCTTTAATAAATTAAGGAATTATTGTAAAACTATGTAAAAAATAATATATACCTTGGCGAACTAAGGTCGTCTTTGTTAACCTCCTGTCGTTTCGCCATCTGTCTCTTTTTGCCTTCCTGTGCCGCCTTCATTGGGTCGTAGGAGGACCGTTTCTTCCAATTGGAAAATTCTATTTCCTTCGACGCCAAGGCTGACGAAGAGCGGTGCTGGTTTTGCTTCTTTTGTACTGAAAAAGTATTATACACCATTAAGTAATGAAGTGAGATACTATACTAATATATAAAGCTGAAGACTTTGTTTGTTTGAACGCGCTAATCGCAGGAAGTACTCTTTCGAACTGAAAATGTATTTTTTTGTTCATTAAACGAGGAAGGCTTTATGCTATAATAGATCCGGCTGAAGCCATTAGGAGCGACGAAACAGCGGGAAATGTAAAAAAAACGCGTATTATTGAACTTTCTGGGTTTCCGATGCGTATGCTATGCTGCAAACCGTTTGAGATGCCCAAAAAATACATATATTTCGAGCAGAAATGATGAACTACGGGACTCGACTGATGTTGTAGGTAACAGCTTAAAAGAGATGAAGAACAAGAAATAACAAAGAGAGATGAACAAATGTTGTTGTCCAAAATAACTGTTCCACGCGGACGAAGTCGCTGACACAGCTAGTTTACGTTACGGAGGAAGAGTGAAGAAATATAATATATGCGTATATTGTTTTCCTCTTTTTAAAGTATTCACACTTCGCGATATTGTAAGACGAATCCCGACGAATGTCGTCAGTGACATCTGATACCGAGCCACATAAACCGCGGACAATCGATTTTATCAAGGATGCATTGTGTTTACGCTCATTGTCTTAAATTCATTGTTTATGGAGTGCTTCCGATTTAACTTGTTTTGTGCGAAGGGAAAAGTCACGAAATATGTACTTGATTGAAATAATATTTTGTAACTCAACCTCAAATTACATTTGTTAGGTTTTATTGCTATACGTGAGACAAGACAGACAAGCAAGGCGTTCACTTGACGGTAGAAATACTCCAGTCTATAGCATTTAAGCAGATATGCTGTCGACTTATTGTTGGACATTCTGACTGAAACCTGAAAGCGAAACGTGAATATACATTTACAGGTTTTTCATCTGTATACGATGGTTTGCGAGGCGGACAGAATTACAGTATTCCTACTCCCTATTGATAAATTCACATTTCCAGACGAAGTCAAAATTATAAATTGATTACAAAAATGTTGGGCCCAGCGGGAACGAACCCACGACCCGTTGATTTTACACGTACATTTCTACTTTAAAAAAATAATTTTAAACATACCTTTCTCCAGCTTTTGAGGTTCCCTAGTAGACGACCTGGATTTAGTGAGCCTACTCAAAACTGCTTGTTTCGAATCCGCTCGTCTGCTTTGATGGTTCGCCGGTTTCCTCTCCTCCCTGCCCATCGGCGGCTCCGACATCCTCGTGTTCAGCACCCGCTCCTTATTGGTCACTCTAACCGAATTCCTAACCAATCCCGGCCCGAATTTCCTCTGCATTTCCGGTGTGTTCGGACATCTTGGTGAATTCGAGGGTACCACAGACTTCAAATCGGGCGATTCGATCCTTCCTCGAATCTGCCGCTTGTACCTCAGGTCTTGGGATTTATCGAACCCGTTATCTGACTCATCGGAATCCTTGTATTCTTCCGACTGCCCACTGGACCGTCGCGATATCAGCCGCGTATCCACCAAATTATTATTCTTATTCACCGTGCTGAACGAGCTGGAACGCTTGATGAAGGTGCCGTAAGGTTTATCTTGACGACGCGTTTGATCGATTCCGTAAGGTTTCGTATCTAGGGCGTTGTTCTTGAGAACCGTTTTCAGGCACACGTTGGTGTTGATGTCTTTGAAGAGCTCAGTGTTTTTGCCGTCGAAGGAACTGTGCCGCGTGTGAGTTTTGTACGCTAAGATTTTGTCGACGTAGGGACGGTTCGATACAGTTTTGTCATCTGAACTATTGCTTAGGAGGCCGCGGTGTGAGTCGGGGCTGTTCATGTTGGAATCTCGTCTCGGTTCCGTATCTAGTGACCTGGATGCCGTGTTGAGACGGCGATTCTCCGGCACCTTGGACGAACCCGTTATCACATAATGTCCGGGACTACGAAGCGGGCTGCTGTCACCTGATAAGGTAAGTAAAAAACGTTACCAGACGAACGCTGTAGTTAACTATATGTGAGGACAGGAAAGTCAGTAAGAAGTAAGACATACGATGTGATGATGAAAAAACTCAGTTTGAAAGCATATAGTGTTTTTTAAAAACAGCAGGGTTACTAATCAGCCATTTAACGACAGGAAGTACGACATTTGAATCACAAACTGAAAACACTTTAGATTCCGGTTTAAAACGCGGGAAAACATATTGTGTGTCTGTGAATTGCATTTTATTTACAGGCAAGTAGCTAATTGTCACTGCCCTGCCCGACGGAAACTTTTCATCGTGTTTCCCAAGATTCTAATCCCAGTCTTCTTTGGGTTGAGTCCAAAATATTTACCTGAAGTTTCCTTCCTCCGTAGTCTATAGTTGAGTGAGTTAGAGCGACTGAGTTGAGATATCGGCAACCTCGATACGAGTGTCTTCTCACTGATGAGCGACGTGGTGAGTTGAGACGGAACGTTGGAGGCATTGGTTCGGGTGGAATGCAATTTTGCTTGAAGATTCGTTATCGCGTTCTGCGTTTTGAGGAGGTACGACTCAGTGTCCTGTGGAGGTATGAGGTCCTGGAACAACAAATTATTCTATTAGCCATATACAATAACTAGTTGAGACCGTGACGTCGTCCGTGTTCCCTCGTTTTTGCGAGTTAGGGCGGATTTACATTGAGTTATTAACACTGTAAATCCACCGTATAGCATATGGGGATATTTTTTTTAAATCACGTACATTTTATTTTCTTGAACCATTTTCCCAGTTTTATGCACATTTCCCTATGTTGTTTTCGCTCCTATTGATTGCAGTGTGATATTTTATAGCCTAAATTTAAAACCGTTTAGTCTAATTTAATATTTTACAACAAACTTTCTCGATATATGTTACATTTACCAGCAAAAAATAATTTTTCAATTCGCCCAAACTAACTATTCTAGTCTAGTCCTTTATAAAATATTAAATACTCTTTACGTTAATAGAAATCATTCAATTTGTAAGGAAGTTAAATAATTGTATGTCATTCTTCCGCCTTCTCCAATTTCGGCGTTTCTGTGTCATGATATGGTAAATTTGTTTCATAATAGTTAGATATTGTCGATTAACACGCGAACGTATCTTTACTATGAAAATATAGATTCTAGTTCAACACAAGCGAAATATGTAAAATACCAAAATACAATAGACGTGTTAGCAGGACCTTGGTAACAATGCATGATTAATAAAGAACAGGTCATGAATTCAACACCCAGGCTCGTTGGTGCTGGCAAACAACGGGCCGTGGGTTCGATCGTCACCGGGTCCAACATATTTATAAAATTTCTGAAACATGTTGGATATCGTCTGGAAATCTGAATATTGAGTGCGTGTTAGGAATATCGCACAGTTTAATCACGTTTCGGCTTCAATCTGTGGATTTCCGAAATCCAAAGCCAAAATAGGTCGATAGCGCATCTTGTTTAGACGCTATAAGCTGGGGTATTTCACTTATCATCAAGTTAACTCCATGCCTGTCTGTACTCCTCTATCATAAAAAAAAATTTATAATCATCTCTCCCTGAAATATCGATATTTCTACAGCACATTGAATATAGATATTATAGGCATACGACCCAAAATCGAACCTCTGTCTTGTCTCTTGCTTGACCGTTACAATATTAGGCATTAAGCGCTATCTAGTACTCATCTTACAATCACCAAATCTCATTATCTACAGGAAGTGGAATCACCTTGGCTTATCTTATCAAGATGCAATAGTACTCCCATTCGCCGATACAGCAAGTAAAAGTTGATAATCATGATTACCTATCATTTAAAATTTGCTTTGCGGGACTAAGCAAATAAATAAGTAATTTTAACGGTATACTGTCTGTAGTTTACGCGAGTAGTACCTACACATTTAAATAAAATGGTTTAAAACGCGAAATATATTAGTTAAACTTTCGGATGCTTTCCAGCAGTCGTGGTTATGAGGAGACTCCGTGACCACGCCTGCTGCAAAGCATCCGAAACATCGGGCCGTCGTTATAAATGATTTTGAAACAAGGTTAAATAAAATATATCGCTTTTTAAACCGTTAAAGTGTCTTATTTAAATAATTTTAAGGGTTAAAATGCGAAATATATGTACTTGTTTTGTTACCCGTGACCACGGCTGGTGATCAGGCCGTCGTTAAAATTAATTTTAAGCATTAATTGAAATAAAAAATATAATTTTATCCTTTTAAGTCAATAATTCTACAGAATATCATTTGTGTTTAATGTATTTATACTTTATTGTATTGATAAATGTAAATTAATAATTGTCGATACGATAGTGGACAAAACCGCAATGCGCATCAATAAAAGGCTATAGCCTCCTAAAAACACCGTAAATACCTAACGCGTTACACCACGTCAAAATGCCTATTGGTCAGTGTGTCTCATGCAGTGATCTATACTAATATATGAAGCTGAAGAGTTTGTTTGTTTTCGACGCGCTCATCTCAGGAACTAATGGTTCGAATTGAAAAATATTTTTGTGTTGGGTAGAGCATTTATCGAGGAAGGCTATAACACACATCGATGTGACTAATACGAGCAAAGAAACAGCGGGAAAGGTCGTAAAAACTGAGAAAATAATTCATCCTTGTGGGTTTCTATAGCGTACGCTGCGAAAAATGTTTAAGATACCCAAAAATATGTACGAAAGAATTAATTTTCTTTAAACTGTCTAAAAAAATTGCAAGAACGACGGGAAGGGACGCGTCCCACGTCGTGGGTCACAGCTTAAGTTTATAAAGATGAAGGGGGTTTGCAAAATCGAATTTGGATGCCCAAAATAACAATACTACGCGAACGAAGTCGCTGACACAGCTAGTTTGATATAACTAGAGTTGCTGCGCCAAAATATGATTCCCCCCAAAACTACTTCAGCAAGTGAAAGAGACATATTAAGAGGGAAACGGGATTCACGGATGTTCATTGTTATCTTATATACTATATAACTTAAGCGATATCGCGATCTATAGCGTATTTAGGAGACCGCAGCCTTACGAAGAGGTAGAGTAGACGTCGATTAGTGTCAGCAACAAGCTAGAACAATAAACGCTTTCACCTAACCTTGGCTGGGCAGTAACCGCATTCTTGGTGACATTATTTTGTAACCAGACGGATTATTGTGGTTTTATTACTGCGATATTTAGAGCGGCGTCTACGCAGCGGTCAGTTAAGTGTTGCGGCAATAGTTTTACAATATTCTCAACAATTCCAACATTAAATACTGTCTGTCGTTTACGTGAGTAGCATACATTTAAATAAAACAAGTTAACGGTTTAAAACGCGATATATTGGTTTAGTTTTCCTTACATATATCGCATTTTAAACCGTTAAAGTGTTAGAATAGATATTATGATCAACCTTGTCTATTGGTTGGTAAAATAGAGTTCAAATCCCGGTTGGGCAAAAAGTTTGTTCGATATTTGAAATTTGTGAAGTGTTTTTCGGTAGACCGTCCTTGTTGTTACATTCACTAATTTAGCGGCGGTTCTCGCTAGAGCCCACCAACCCACATTGGAAGTAGTGTGATGGGAAGCCCTCGATCCGTTGAGTTTTTCGCACAATAGATATATATCAACGTATTAATAATAGACACTAAACTGAATTAAGCATTCTTTACAACTTTGTGTAGCATCTAAGAATATCAACATCAGCCCTTTAGCAAAAAAATATCGGTAGGTTTTCGTTGGTAATGTTAGCAATGTATGTACGGGTCAACGGGTCGTGATTTCGATCCCCACCGGGCCATACATTTTCCGAAAAACGGAATAGAAATCTGGTAGGAATATCGAAATTTCGAGTCACGTCACAATTGAAAAGGCCGCGAAGTTTATTCGCCTTTCGGATTCAGTCTCTGTGAATTTCCGCGTATCCAAAGCGAAAATAGGCCGACAGCGCATTTTATCTAGATGTTATTTGGTTGCGTTATTCCACCTTCCATCAAGCCCATTGCACGAACCCCGTGTTTGTCTGACCCCCTCTGTCGTAAAAAGTGTTACTTTAACTTGGAAGCACAAATTAATTAATTTCCGAACCACTTCAAGTATTCCCTAGAGGCAATAAACATGACCATAGTGTTCAAGCAGTCCTACCATTTATGGTAGAAGGTCGTTTCAAGTCAAGTTCAACGTGACCAGGAAAGGCAGAAATAAAGGTGATTCAGTACTGAATTACGCAATCAAAAATAAAAATCGTATAGTTAAAAAAACCGGTAAGTGCGTAACTTTTTTTTTACATTACGAGTGGCTATTTATTGCTGGTAAATAAAATTAAATTATAAGATTTATATTTAAATGTTTATTTAATATTTAAGTTAAATGACACGTAAGATTTTTTTTAACGTTGTATCGTTTTTAATGTATCTTGAGTTTATTGTATTGAAGCTAAATACTGTCTGTAGCTTACACGAGTAGTACACATTTAAATAAAACATTTTAACGGATGAAAACGCGTTAAACTTGTTTGAAACGTCGGGCCGTAGTTAAAAATATTAACTAAAATATGTCGCGTTTTAAACCGTTAAAGTATTTTATTTAAATTTTTTTAAAGCTCTCTAACATACATTGCATTTATTTTTCTTACTTTTCTATAACAAAAATATAAGTATTAGTAATGAATAATTTATAAAGAAAAAGTCTAGCTGCAGTTTTGCAGATAGAGTCTGGTGGTACATAGAGAGCGAAGCACTAGTATTTCTACTTTTTATTACAAACGCCCTAACTACGACGGCAGTTGAAATAATTTGTATATAAGTTCAACTCATATATGTCGTGTTTTAAACTGTTAAAGTGCGGGAGACGTGCATGCATAGGTTGAAAAATTCGATGATGACGTGTAGGACAATCCTGTATCGTATTTTTTTATTTATAATGGATTTTTAATTTACACAGTTAAAGTGTTTTATATAAATATATATAAATTTTGTAACGATTACACCGCGAAATAACAGCCTAACTAAATATAAGTCCCTCTCAAAACTTAAGTCCTCTGTTGGGAATCAAAATGAGTAGATCAAACCAGGTGTACAAACAGGTGGGCATGGCATAAGCGATGAGAGAAAGCGAAATTCGAAACTGTACATCCTCTGCCCTGGCTAACCGTTTGTGGGCAGGATGTGACACACGATATCAACACGGGTGGTATAAGTGTACCACTATAGTAACATATAATAAAGCTAGGCACGCGATAAAGGAAAACATACTCGATGCAAAAATTCAGTCCAGTTTACGAAAAGTTTTAATTGCAAATAGATATGAAACTTTTCTTTATGATAGAGGTGAGACAAATATCACTTGATGCTAGTGAAATAGGCCAAACATATACCATCTAAACAAGATACGTAGTCGACCTGATTTGGAGTTGGACATTCGTATATCACAGCGAGAAACATCGCGATTAAAATTTACGGCTTTTTATCTGTCTATCTTTCGTGATTCCTGATTTCGCGATGTGAGCAAAATTATAAATATGTGTTATAACGTAGGTTATGTTAGCGAAATAACACTACACACTATTTACACTGTACACTTAGATCAGCA